GGTCTCTTTTGACAAGCTCATGACGTTAGTATCTAATTTGGGAGCTGTAGACAGAATGCAGGAGGGAAAGCATCTGAGGAACACGAGGCCAGCCCAACGCCCGCTGACCACACGTTAGCCGAGCACCGGCAAAGGTCACTTCTGAGAGCCCCTGTCCCTGCACTCTGTGGCTCCTGGTTGTTCTACTTTTAAGTTTTTAAGAAATCTCCATTTCCAGGAAATGGTACAGCAGGCAGGGGTCTTACCTGTACACAGTCAGCCTGGGTTCGACCCCCAGCATCCCATATGGTACCCTGAGCCCTCCAGGAGTAACCAGCAGGTGTGACTCCCATATCAAAAACCAAACTCTCTGTCTCTCTGTCTCTCTCTCTCTTCTCTGTCTCTCTGTCTCTGTCTCTGCCTCTCTGTGCGTCTCTGAGACCATTTCAAAAGCTGCAAGGATAAGAAATAAAAACAAAAACAAATGGGATAAACCCATAGAGAACAAAATAAATACAAAAAATAAATGACAGCAGGAACCAGAGCGATAGTACAGCGAGGTGTTTGCCTTGCATGGGGTCAACCCTGGTTCCATCCCTGGAACCCCTTTATGGTCCCTGGAGCACAGTCCAGTGTGGCCCCAAATAAACAAACGTATATGACAGAAAATGCTATCAAGATAAACTGGGAAGCTGGGGAGACGGAGCGCAACGGTAGCTGGCTGCTGTCCTGCATTTTACCCCGCAGAAGGACACCAAGTGGTGATAAAAGGAAGTCATTTATGGTTTCTGAACACCCGCAGTCCTAGTCTCGGGAACCTTCCGGAAGCAGCCAGGTCTCCTGCGGTGGGGGTTGGGCGTGTGGCGCTGAACTTATCCCTTTGGTTGTTTTAACTGTAGGAGTCCCCAGGACTCAAGCAAGTGGGTTGTCTTGGTATGTCCATTCTCTGTGTTCCCTCTTCCTCGCTGCTCTCCACTTGCCGTCTTTTGAGATAAAAAGAGTTTTTCCTGTCCCATTTTCTCTTCACTTTTGCTCTTCAGCCAAAGTTTCTTAGTTTTGGCTACAGTTTTTGAGCTGCATTAGGGGATTAAACATGCACACTTGCTACGATCTACTTGGTGAATGTCACGCCACTCCATACCTAAGATCCTTCCCAAGGGTGAATTCCATTTATCCTTTCACCAACTTGGTGTGGTCTCGTTGCCAAGATTTTTGGATGACAAACGTTTCTACCTATGTTACAGTGTTGTTCTGTAATTTTTGCACATGGGTTCCTTCAAACAGATTCCCAGAAAATTTCCTTGACAGGGGAGAAAGATGAAGGTATAAATAGTTTCTGGAGAGTAAAGCCTCTTGGACAGGTATTCCTTCAATTATGAAAAGTATTTCTTCCACTTTCACTCTATTTTGGGAAGCGCAATCAACACTTAAGAACCGAAAGGAAACGTGAGCTCTTGTCAGACCAGTGTACATGTTGAACTAATGAAACATTATTCACAGCTCATCCTTCTCTTCAGCTGCCTTTCCACTGGAAGCTCGTTCAGAAAGCTGGAGGAGTCACATCCCTTACTCGGAACAGAACGTTTTGTACAGCAAAGGGAGAACAATTTCAAACTAAAAAGTCATTTCATCACAGGGTTCCGATTTGGAATTTAGCTTGACACCTACTTTGAATGGTTCCAGAATTTAGTCTGAAATATTCTCATCTTCAAAGGCAAAGAATGAGAACAAAGAATCCTTTCAAGCAATTATCAAATAACTCAAAGGTATGAAAATGTGGCTCTGTTTTCCAAGATTCGACAGCTTGAGGTTAAAAAATTATTTGAATTGTAACTCTATAAAGATTAACCTCAATTACGGATGTCACTAGATATAAAAAATTTTATGGTATGTACTGAATTTGCTTCTTGTAACTGGCCAGATGCAAGATAAGGAAAAAAGCTTCCTTACCGCAGGAGGTCTGCCTCACAGCCCTTCAAAACATGATGGATAGTCCACACAACCTGAAAATGGAGTCAAAAGAGAAAAGCAAAATATCATTCCAGCTTACTCTAGCGTGAACACCTCTGGACGTCTCAGGCTCTCGGCTAAGAAGTTTCAGGCTTTCCCTGTGCTAGCATATCTTGTTCAAGTTGGTTTTCTTACAGATCACTGATGGGTGATACTTCAGAAATTGGCTTATTTAATTCCATTTTCTCTCAATCTTATAGAATCTCTTGTGACAAGAAATCCAATCATCATCTCAAAGTCCTACACCAGGTTTTTCTCAAACTGAATCACCTGCAGTTAAATTACTGACAAATTGAAAACAGGCAATGAAACACAAAGAACTTGTAAAATTACATTTAAAAATATTTATCTAAAATAAATCATTTAATCCCGTGTTTATTTTGTTTTAAAAAGTGTAAAAAAGTTCAGTAACACAGTAACACACTTTATAATCATCATAATCATTATTTTAGAGGAGACTAAAAAATACTTATAGAATTATTCTGTTAGAAGTATTCTAAGAGAACATGTTGAGATTTTGTCAGATTTGTCTACTTCGTTAGCTATTTGCAAGTTAGCTGAACAGGTAAATAAAATTGAATTTTTAAGAGGATTTAAAATGGGCTGGAGCGATAGCACAGCGGGTAGGGCGTTCGCCTTATAAGTGGCCAACATGGCCGACCCGAGTTCGATTCCTCCGCCCCTCTCGGAGAGCCCAGCAAGCTACCGAGAGTATTCGATATGCCAGACACAGTAACAACAAAGTCTCCAATGGAGACGTTACTGGGCCCGCTCGAGCAAATCGACGATCAACGGGAGGGCAATCATTGGATATTAAAAACATTAAGCAAAGGAGAAAATGAAATCGATAGTGCCGTAAGTATTTTAAGTAAGCTGTGTACACTGAGTGTAAAAATTTAAAGGGGAAAGGTACCTGGAGATAGTAACTTTAACATATGGGCCGATAAGAAAATAAAAAACTAGAGTCCTGGTTTCATATATTTCCCATGAACAAAACATTCCATGAGAACGAAAACTGTTTCCACCAGAACAATCATCACTGAACTACAGAACAATGCAAGATGAACCTAAAACCAGCTAATAACCTCAAAGAATGAATGTGTTCTTCAGAGATTCTGAGGACTGCTGTCTCTCTGTGAGCAGAACGCCCGGGATTGAGTGTCCTTGAAAAGCTACTTATTGAAATGAGTCAGAGAGGGACAGACGCAGAAGGACTGCACTCATTTGTGGAATGTAAAATATCATGAGACTGACACCCAAGGACAGTAGACAAAAGGTCCAGGAAGACTGCTCCATGGTTGGGAGCCTGCCTCATGAGCTGGGGGAGAAGGCAGCTGGGATGGAGAAGGGATCCCTAAGTCAAGGATGGTTGGAGGGATCGCTCGGGATGGGAGATGTGTGCTGAAAGTAGACCAAGGACCAAACGTGACTGGCCTCCCAGTATCTGTATTGCAAACTTAATGCCAAAAAGGAGAGAGAGAGTATGGGGGAAACTGTCTGCCATAGAGGCAGGGGGAGGGATGGGATTGGATCCTGGGGACACTGGTGGTGGGGATGGGTGCTCGATCACTGTATGACTGAAACTCAAACATGAAAGCTTTGTAACTATATCTCACAATAATTCAATTAAAAAAAAAAAAAAGCTACTTGTGTTTGGGCCACCAAGGTGGTGCAGCTGATACAGCTCTCGCCTTAAATGTGACCAGCTGGGTTTGATCCCTGGCGCCCCATTTGGTCCCCCAAGCCCTGCCAGGGATGATCCCTGAGCAGAGAGACAGGATTCAGTCTTGAGCACCCCTCAAAACAAAAAAAATTAGCAAGTACATAAAAAGCTATTAATGTTACAGGTCATTAAAATAATGACATGAAAACCAATACTTGGCTAACGAGAAACCAGCTACTGCTCTCAAGGGAACGTCTATCTCGTGTTTTTTCACATTTCAGAAGCAAAACTTATCTGGGTCTAGGCAATTAAAAATTTTTTAACTTTCAAGGGAAAAAAAAGGTGGCTTAATTAAGCTATTTTCTTGGAAAAATGAAGTCATCTCTAAGAAAAATCTTTCTCTCACATGAAACTCACTGATTAAGAAAAACTTATGTCACTGTAATCTTTCCCACCTGATTTCTATGCTGGGGAAAAAAAAAATCTCTTTGGCACTTACACTAAAACATGGATCCTGTATCTTCCTCCGGAGGTAAAAAAACAAAACAAAAATTTTAAAAAACACCAGAATAAATGATTAGTCAACCCACATTTACTTAACAATCTCACAGTCGGAAAATTTCTAGGAATGAAAAGTACAAGTAAGGAAAGTAAATGAAAAATGGACGTCGGGAAGCTCAGCTGATGGGTTTAATAAACAAGACTGAGACCCGGAAGGGGAGGAGCGGAGTGGGACCAGAGGCAGGCTCCGGGGAGGGCCTGTTGCCCACCAGCGGGACGGGAAGTCAAGCATCTCCACGCAATGCTTAAACCAACTCCGTTCTCTCAAACACATCTGGCGTGAGATATTAAAATTCAAGAATACGACGAAACCAAGTCAACAGAATTTTTTTAAAAATCTGAAGCTAAAAATCATCAGAGTCCAAAAGCTAATCTTCCTGACCACGGTAGAAGCTTCTAAATGTCTTAGGTTGGCTTACCTGTCCCCTGCTCGAACAGAAAGCACCCCCGACCGCAGCCAGGCTATGGGCACTCCCACCCAGGCAAGCCCAGCACCCCCACTCCCAACCCGGGGTATTAGTCTCACCCGCTCTGAGCAACACCAGTCCAAGCACCATGAGAAGGTTAATTTAAAGAACCAAAGCTCTCCCGGCACTCAGAGAGGCTCTCGTGATGCTGACTGCTGGGGCAGGCAGGGTTGCGGCTCATTACGAAACGTCTGTCACTGACTGTTTCTCGTCACAACCGCTCGCAATGAGACTCTGGCTGGTCACTTGCTAAGACCCCAAATAAAGAACCAGAGAAAAGTGTGTTTGGAGCGAGAATCTTTTAATAACTCTATTCATTTCCATAGAACAATAAATACAGAAATCATCAGCAGTATATGTAACAGTAGTATTCTCCTTAGACACAGAAAGCACTTATACTCAATGGGCAAACACTGTGGAGATCAGCACTGGGAAAAAACGACACAACGGAAGTAAGAGACAAGTCAAAAGAAAAATGATTTCTCTGGGCCCCGACCCTTGAGATTCCCACTCCGGACGCTCCGTCGCAGGGCAGGCAGGAGCGTCGGTGGGCGGGCGGGCACGGCTCAGCTCCGGGCGGCGGCAGTCTGGGGCTGCTCCGACTGCAGCTGCTTCCCGAGGTATTCCCTGGAACCAAGCACAGAGCAGGGGTGAGGCGAGGCCACAGGACTGCGCCCACATCAAAGCACAGGGACTGTCGCCCAGACGGGGGCTGCGGACTCAGCCCAGAGCTCAGAAGACCGAGGTCTGCAAGCCCCCAGCCTGTCTGGCGAGTGAGCTGCCGTCTGTTCCGCAGACACAGGGCAGGACACACATGTGAGCGGCTCTGCAGGGCGGCCACTCAGGGGACACCGGCGCTAGGGATGTGTCTGGTGCCGGCTCGGGCATGCAGGAGGCTCAAACCCGGCTGTGCAGAGTCAGAGAGGGCAGCTCGGACAGTGGAGGCCTCCATGTGGGGCACGGAGGGTCGGACCCCCAAGACGAAGGAAGACAGGAGCAAAGGCAGCCACGGGACGTGACGCCCAGAGCCACAGCAGCGGCCCTGGCCAGGGTCTCGGCCCCAGAACAGCCACACGCACCCAGACACGGGCAGAAGCAGCGACCCCACTGCGGCCGGCCCTGGGCTGTGACCACACTCACCGCGGAGCTGCCGGAAGGCGCCAGACCCCGTTGCCCCCCTCCCAGCGAGGGCTCCCCACAAGGACAGGAGAGACGGTCCAGAAGCTCCCAATGGGTCAGCGCCTGTACGCTGCAGCCCTGCCCACCCCCCTGCACAGGCCCAGAAGGAACGGGGCCCGGGGCTGAAGGGGTCGAGCGGCACTGACCTCCCGAAACAAACGTCCAGTGGCACCGGCAAGGGGCACCACCCCTCTGCACAGGTGCAGATGGAAGGCCAGCCGCACCCTGCTGACGCAGCCCCATCTCAGCCACAGCCCGACTCCAGGGCCACCCAAGGCGGGAGGCAGGCGGGCAGCCCAGCTAGTGTGCGAGGAGCTGGTGTGCGGACAGGTCGCCGGGAGGGGCCAAGCGACAGCACTGGGGGCAGTGCCGGGCACCCGTACAATCTCCTGAGCTGCCAGGAGTGACCCCTGAGTGCAGAGTCGGGAGCAAGCCCTGAGCACTGCAGGTGCGGCGCGCACGCGTACACACACACACACATGCACACACACATAGACAAAGACACACACACACAGACACACACACACACACACACACACACACACTGCGAGTCTGAGAGCTTCTAGGAAACACACACAGCTTAGGGTCCTCCCCGCGAAGCGACCCTTGCACTGAGGTTCCTTCCGCCGACACGGGCAGTCAGGCTGCCAGGGCAGGCACAGGGGGCTGCAAACACACTACAGGGGCAGAACTGAGGCATGGGGTCAGACCGCCCCCCTCACTTTCTGGTTCATGGGGGGGAAAAAATGGAAAATGAGAGGGAAAGAGAGGGAAGGGAGGCCAGGAGGGAGGCAGGGACAGGCTCTCCCGGGAGCTGGGCGCCCGCCCTCTTCCCATCCACACTACTGGGGGCTCTTGATCCCGGCCGAGGAGAAATGAACAGCTCCATCGACCAAACTCGTGCAGAACCCGGAGGAAAGCTACGCCCGCCCCCCTTGGTTCCCCCTGGGAGGAGGGGCGCACCCTGCAGTGCTCGGGGATCACTCCTGCCAGGCGCAGGGCACCACAGGGCTGGGTGGGGAGGGGAATCGAACCCAGGTCAGCCTCGTGCAAGCAGGTGCCCCCTCCACTGTACCAAGGCCCTGGCCTCTGTTTATTTTCAGACTGTGCACTCCACAGGTAGAGTTGGGGCATCTCTGTGACCGGGGGACAGGTTTATTTTGGTGAGGGTAGGAAGAGTATAATGTTGAAGAACTTTCTAGATGTTATATGCATCTTTTTCCCTACACACAGCTGAGGATTTGTGAAACCTGAGATTACAGTTTCCCTCCCTGCCCCGATCAGGACTCCGGCAGCCGAAGACCTCCAGAGCCAGCCACCACCATGCTGAGACCACTCTCCACACGCATGAAGGTACCGGCAGAGGAACAAAGGCATGCGGGTCCCGGGGCTGAGATCTCCAAGCCTGCTCGGATCGGGGCTGAGCATCCTCCACCCAGAGCCTCCACCTTCCAGTAGGCGGGGGTCACACCCACCAATTGGCCCCCTGGCACCGTGTAATCCCATCAACGGCCAAGACCCAGAGACTATAAAAACCAGCTCCCAGAACCGTGGCCACATTCATGGCCGCGCAGCATCTTATTATCTCACTCCTACTTTGGACAAACTGGCAGGCTACCAAATGTAACCTGCCCACACGGCAGAGTCTGGCAAACTCCCCGTGGCGTACCCAATATGCCAAATACCAGTAACAATGATGGGTCTCATTCTCCTGACCCTGAAAGAGCCTCGAATGTGGCACTTGTTAAAATCTCAGGGCTAGGACGAAGGAGACGTTACTGGGGCCTGCTCGAGGCAATCGACGAACAACAGGATGATCGTGATTGTGATTGTGAGATTACAGATGCTCCATCTTAAGATGGACTCACTTGCTTTTCGGTCCCGAACCTTAAATCCAGTGAAGGATGCTGACACGCACCAGGCTCTAAAATGCCACGAGGCACGTGGTCACTCTGAACCGGAGACCTGAATGCCACAGGTTCAGGGCCTGCATCCTGTCACGCATCTACCTAAAGACAGATTCTCCCAAAATGACTCACTTGACAAAAACTGCTGCCTGGGAGTTTTGTCAGCTGGGGAGAATCACCCCGAGACAGCCCGTCCCCCTAAGCAGGACTTTCTCTCCCAAAGCACGCACACCTTCCGCCTGCCCGGTTTCAGGGGGAGACGGAAGCCCAGATGCCACGGCTGCTGGTCTTTCCCTTGTTTATCTGACACGATTCAGACTTGTTCCCGGTTTGTTGACCTTTTATTAAGGAGATCCCAGGTCGGAATCACAGGGAACGGGAGCGAGAGGAGTGGAGACTTCTCTTCCCCCAGGAGGTTTTTGGGGAAACATTTTAAGAGGGCAGCAAAGACCCCTGCCCGCCCTGGGGTGACTGTGAGCTGCATTTGGGTGGAGTGACGGATGGCGCGCTGTCAGGTGCTGTTAAGGAACGACAGAGCAAAACACCCAACCCACAGAGCCGGGAACACGGAAAGCAAGAGACCCAAGCTGAAATAACCAAACGGAGAAAGACACACGTTAGGAAGGAGGGACAGGTGCTTGGGGACACTGGGCATGGGGTGGCGACGGAGCGCTGTACGTCTGAGCTCAACTACGAGTCCAGGCAGGGGCGGGAGAAGTTGGCCAGGCACGTGCCTGACTGGGTCTCGGGTGGTTGGGGGGGGGGGGGTACTACGGCCTCCAAAGGAGCAACCCCCGCCCCCCCGCCCCCTAGCCAGGACACAGGACAAAGTAGTAAACAGTCACAATTTCACCTGTAAAATCTGAAGTTCATGACGCAAAGTCTCGGCTTTACTGAAATGACTAAAACTCATACTCGGCCTATTCCTGAGATTTGGGGCAGCTACTTAACTTTCAGGCTGAGGAGTTTCCTCGAGGGGAATTTAAAAAGCATCTCTTTTGTTTTCAGGACTCAGAAGGTTTCGTGAGTCACTTTCCCTTTGGCAGGAGCAAAATCATCACGCGAGCCCCGAATCAACGCTTTCCATCGACAAAAGCCAGGGCAGCCCTGAGGAAACCGGGCGGAGGGAAGGACAGGTCGCTCGCTTGCTCGGCCCGCTGGGCGCGGGAGAGGCTGCGGCCAGGCCCACGGACAGACCCGCTCGCCCCCAGGACGCCAGGACGCAGGAGGAACAGAGGGAGGAGGACGCGCTCGGGCTGGGAGTCTTCCTCCCGCACCGAGACATTCCGCCGGCTGTCTGCACGGCAGCTGCAACGGAGGCAGGAACGGAACGGCCTGGGAGAAACGGGAGAGGAGAAATGACGAGGCGCCAGCCACGGTCACCGGCCAGGAACCGGGGACACGGGGCCGGACAGCAGAGGGCCACTGGGCGGCGCCGCCCTGGGGAAGGCTCCAGCGCCAGGCAGGGACAGACCCCCGGCCGCGCCTCGCAGAGGGGGCGCGCGAGTGGTCACTGTACCAGCGCCTGGGGGAGTCGGGCAGCTCTCTAGGGAGCACTGGGCAGCGCCCTTGGCGTCTACGCAAAGAGCAAAGCGACCTCCGTCCACGTCTGCCCCGCCCGGGCCTGTGGGTGCCCCGAGCTAGCGCCCGGGTGAAGCCCACTCTCCTCCCCGCGCCCGCCTGACGCCCTCCGCTCCCCCACAGCACAGCCCCCAGCAGGAGGGAAGCGCACCCGACACCTGCCGTGCTTACCGCAGCCCTCAGATTCAGTCTGGGACACGAAGAAAATGAAATCAGGGAGGAAAAAGTCTCACCCAGGAGAGACAATGTGTCTCTGGCCTTCTTCGATCCCCGGCTCGTCCCGACTCACCGCCCACGTCAGCGAAGACTCACTGGGGAAGTCGGTGGGGCCGAGGCGAAGCTCGAGGGCAGAGGGATGCTCACAGGAGAAGCCGCCTCCCGCCAACGGCAGGGAACCCATTTGCCTCTCCCCGAGAGACAGTGCTCAGGGTCAGGGTGAGGCTCACTGCCCTGCGGGGCGACTCGGATCAGATCAGCATGGCAGCAAGCTTGGCCCGCGGTCCTGCCAGGAATGATCTGAGCACAGGGCCCGGAGTAAGCCCGGAGCACTGCAAGTGTGAGCCAAGAACAGGGGCAAAGAGAAAGTCCCATTCTGCTCTCCGGTGGTCTTCCCTCCGTCCCCGTGCCCACGACTTCGAGCCTGGGGGGCCCCCCCCGGCGGCAGGGGCAGGGCTTCGCCCGGCTGTCTCTGCGCCCACTACTCACACTGCAGCTGCTCCGGCAGAGCGCAAACATCCCCTCTTTTCAGAGACACACGGTGACAACAAAAACCAGAGTCCTGAGTCCTGCACACTTTCTCCCGCCTCCGCTGAGGAGGAGCGGCCACTGCCCTTGCCCACGGTCGGCCCGGCCCAGCCCAGCAACCTCCTGACTGCCTGCAAGAGAAGTCGCCCCCGGCGATGGCTCCCCTCCCCCACCTGTCTTCTTAGAGTCCATTTCCCAGGACCCCCCCCCCACACACACACACCACCCTTTGTGTAAGAATCTCCTCTTTCTTCTCCTGTTAGTTTTGGGGACACACCGGTGGGGGCGGAACTCAGGGCCCACATGCGGTGACAGCAGGGACCAAGGCCAGGCACACGGAAGTGTCTTAGCCCCTTACCATCTCTCCGATCCTGCCTGGGAAATTTTTATGCAATTCCGGGTTTGTAAGGACACAAAACGTCAATAAACCATAAATATACTTTTTAGACAACCCACACTCCCAGAAGTTAGCGCGTGTGTGATTCTTCAGAACATTTTCGGATAAACTTTCTGAAAACTCTTGTGGTGCTCGAGAACGACCACCTTTGAGGTGAGCGTCAAGTGGAAGGCAGAACCAACTTCTGCCGTTTTTCAAGGAGCTCCATTGAATCTACTCCCACCGCACCACAAAAACGCTCTCGCGATCTAGCGGGCATAATGCCACTTTCACCAAACGACAAGAGTCGTGAAGTTGAAACTCTCACAGTTCTCTCGAGTTTCCTACCTCGGGGACGGTCACATAGTACTTGGGAGCCAGGGAGGAAGAAATGGAAACCCAATGCCAGCGAGCCCCCAGGAACTGAACTCTGGAATTCAGAGACGGGTCTGCTCTCTACTGCCGACTTCTCCAGCGTCGCAAGGCAACCCCGATAAAACACCGCTGCTCGTGAGATTCTCTCTTAAGATCCGGCGAAAGCACAGTTCACAGAACCACCAAACACAGCTGCGTTGGACCAGCATTTCCCAGGGGAAAACTGTCAGGGAAAAGGCTTGATTTCTGGAACCCACAGGACACTCAGATAACCCTTACGGAAAAGAACGAGGAAATCAATGTTCCCAAGTGTTGACACTGTGTTAAGTAGAAGGAATGTAAATCCTTTAAAGTGCCAAAAAAAATTGGCACTAATACTCTGGTACCTTCCTTTTCGGTAAATTCGCTTTTTTTAAAAAAAAAAGTTTGGGGGCCACACCCAGAAGGGAGAACGTGACATCTGATGATGGTAAGTTGGAGGCTGCCTCCTCACCCCCAGGCCTGGCCCTCGTGCCCACTCGCACCCAGACAGGCGGGTTCGGCGGTGCTGACCCATCGTGGCCTGTGCTGCCGCTCTTTCTGCTGGCCACTGTCCCCGCACGGGTTTGGGAATAGGTGGGGAAGCGTGAAGGGTCCTGGACTGTGGGCGGGTGCATCCTCGACAGCTGGCCAGTGGTGGCCAGGACCCAGCTGCTCAAGGGGCGCCGTGTGGCCTGCAGGGGGCTTGAGTGCAGGAGTCAGGAGCGTCCATGCAGGCAGGCGGGCCCTGGTGCGCGTCAGGCTGTAACGGCTCCTTCCCCGAGAACCGAGAACCGGGGCCTGAGGCCGCCCACTGCAGTGCCGGGCTGAGCGGCTCCCCGGGGACCGTGAGAGTTCCGGGTCCGAGAGGCTGCTTCGTTCCGCCGCTGCACGGTGCCTGCCCGCCCCACTCTCCCTCACTGACCCGGGTCGGATTCACCGTCACGACCAACGTCCCGCCCTCCAGCTCCTCACCCAGAGCGCCTGGCTTTCGTGACTGCTACTGGCACCCGCGTGCCAGCAATTTAGGTGGCTCTGATCCTCACTCATTGTCTGGCCTCTGTCAGAGAAAGAAACTCGAGCCATTTCTCCTTTTTTTTGGGGGGGGGGTCACACCCGGCGATGCACAGGGGTCACTCCTGCTCTGCATTCGGACTCCTGGCGGTGCTCGGGGAGCCATATGGGATGCCGGGAATCGAACCCGGGTCGGCCGCATGCAAGGCAAACGCCCTCCCCGCTGTGCTCTCACTCCAGCCCCTGCTGCCATTTTCCCTCTAAACACGGCCCTCCAGAGCACTTTCGTTGATTCTGCGGGAGGATTTTCTCCCCGCTCCCCCACTGGTAACCAGGGAGCAGCCCATCTGACTTGGTCCAGGGGACTGGACTGTCTCCAGGAGCAGTGACGGCCCCTCCCGCGCGTGTGAGCGGCACTGACCTTACCCCGCCCCACGCGGGCCAGTCCCCCAGGCGAGGGCAGCCCCTCCTGCCACAGAGTTTCCCTCAACTGCTAGGGCAGACAACGGCCCAGCCCACACCAGGAGGACTTTCATGCTTTTCGTCAGCAAGAGCAAATCAAACATATCCCCAGAATCCCTAATAATCATCAGCAGGGGCCCAAGCATCACTGGGCGCTCACAGCACCTTAAGCATGCAGCGATCAACACAAGACAACGGGGCCGGGCGGGGGTCTCCCTGGCACAGCCCTGGAGCGCGGAGGTCCCTGGGCCGAGGGAAGCCCGGGTCCGACTCCCCGGAACCGGCCGCCGTGTCAGTGACCGACACTGAGCACCTAACCGGCATTCTTGTTGCCAGTGGTCAGCAGCCTGGGCCGTGGGAAACAGAGATCTCTCGCCTCTGCCTTAGAGCATCGAGGCCAGTGTTCCAGAAGCTTCCTTCCCCCTGGCCCTGACCCGCTGGCCTCCCCCCACCTGCCCGCCAGCACACCCAGGCACTCCCTCAGCCTCTGCTTGGCCCCGCCTCTCGGAGGAGACTCTGTCCTGTGCCTGCGAGCCAGTGGCCTGCGGGCAGCTGGGGGCCTCCCCACGGGGCCAGGGTGTCGGCCGCTGCTGGGTGGAGACGCCCCTTCCCTTCCCTCACCTCAGAAACTGACATCCTGCAAACGGTAACGCTGCCAGACACATGTGCTCAAGACAACTGTTCTTATGTGAATAGGACAAGTAAACTTTAGCGGCCCTTATTTCGAGAGAGAGAGAGACAGAGAGAGAGATAGAGAGAGACAGAGAGAGAGAGACACAGAGAGAGAGAGAGACAGAGACAGAGACAGAGAGGGAAAGAGAACGAGAGACACTGACAGAGAATAAGACAAAGAGACTGACAGAGAGATAGAGAATGAGAGGCGGGAGAGAGAAAGAGAGAGAGAGAGAGAGAGAGAGAGAGAACTGCATTCCCAGCTACTTTGCGAGAAAACATCGGGAAAATCTAACTCCACTGATTCTAACAGTGTGAAACTGAGCCTGCGAACACTCTTCCAGCCACGTGTCATTCAGGGGCTTCGGGAATTCCTGGTGACGCCCCTGCTGCAGCCCCGAGGAGCGCCTGGAGCCCAGAGGCTGCCCCCGCCCCCGCCCCTGCCCCCCGCGCCCAATGAGGCCGGTTCCCAGTGGCCTCTGCGTGTGCCCGTGCTCCTGTACATGGAGCAGGCCCCTGGCCCGCTCTGCCCAAGGCCGCACCCCTGCACGACCTCTGCCCCCCCCCTTCACCCCCACCACCCTCCCCTGGTGCAGCAGCGCCCCCAGCCCCAGCACGGGCCAGACGCCCCGTCGAGAGGAGGGCGTGGGGAGAGCGAGGGGCCGGCAGTGACCAGCAGCCCCGGCTCCGGCTGCCCAGCACCCATCATCCTCCGGGGCTGGCCCCTCCCTCCCCCTGCAGGCGGGGCGCGGGCAGGAGGGGGTGGGGGGGTGAGGGGGGTACGCACCAGTTGTGCACCATGAGCTTCTGCACGGCCAGGAGCGCGTTGTAGCGCACCTGCTGGTCCTCGTGGTGCATGTGGTTCATGACCAGCTGCTTCCCGCCCAGCTGCTCGATGACCCTGCGGGGAGACGGGCCCTGCTCAGCCCTCCGCGACCCTTCACGCTCCCTGCTCCTCTCCCCTCCTCTCGTTCCTCTTTCCCGACCTGCCCGGCTTCCCGGGGGCACGATCCCACCAGCCCCACCCGGCGTCCCGCCCCTGCGGTCACTCTCCCCCAGTGCCTGCGCTTCCGTGGCCTTTGGACCTTTGCTGCTGCCTCGCCGTGTCCCCCCAGCCCTGCTGCCCTCAGGACATGCCAAGGGGGCGGGTGGCCGCTGCCTTCTGGGCGTGACCTCTGGCGGCCTCGGGAGCCGCGTCCTGGGCTGCTCCCCCCGCAGTGGGGCAGACGGACCTTCCCGAGGTGACCTGTGGGCCGCGGGAGCACATGGCATCGGCACGCCACCGCGTCAAAATGCACTGGACGGAGTCCCCAGTCAGGGGACGCTGACCTGCCCGCTGCCCTCGGTGCTCTGCTCACCCCAGCCAGCGCCTCCCCGCACCCCGCCCTCGGCACCCCTGCTCTTACCGCTTGCCCCGCGGGTAATGCCGCACGTACTCGCCGACGTCATGGGCAGCCACGGCCAGGACTTGGGGGTCATCGGACACCTCCAGGAGCTTTGTCAGGATCCTGGAATCAACCCAAAGGGAGATTTCTTTACGGCCCTCGCATGCAGCAGACGCCCTCACCCTGAGACTCACGCACAGATCGGACCAGTCTCCAGAGCTCCACGCGCACCCCACAGGCAGGCCGCTCCCACTCGCCGGGCGAGCCACTCGGATTCCTGGACTGCAAGGGGCTCCCCGCCTGCTCGAGGACCGCAAGGAAGAGGCACCTGCTGGGCCCAGAGAGACCAGGGACGGCGCCTGCCCGCACGCGGCCTGCTCGGGTCCCATCCGCAACATCAGACGGGCCCCTGGCCCCTGCCAGGGGGGACCCCGAGGGCAGAGCCGGGGCAAGCCCTGAGCACTGCTGGATGGCCCCCGAACAAGACACACACAAACTATGATAGCAACAACAACAATCATGAATGTTCTCTCGATGCAGGACTCTGCGCAGGTTCCCGCTAGCTCCGCTCTGAAGACCACGGCTGCTGATGACACTCGGGGGCCGTGCAGGACGGGGCGTGTCCTCTCTGGCTCCGGCCCACCGGAGACCAGGGGCAGCGGGAGCCCTGGGCACGCGCCGGGCACACAGACACGCAACAGGCACAGGGGAGCTGATGGATACACTGGGCAAACACATTTTGTCTGGGGTCCATCTGGGCTTTCCCTTTTGTGTGTCTTGGGGCCCCCGTCTGAGTGTTCTGGGGGTGCCCCCTGCTCAGGGATAGGACCCCACATGCTTGTCCGGAGTGACCCTCACAGCTCCCATGCAGGTCTCAGTACAGCAGCTCTGCCTCCAGAGTACACCACACAAAAATACTCTTTCGGGAGTTGCCGCCCACCAACGGCTCCTCCGTCCCCGGGACGGCCATGACCCCAGAGCACACAAACCAATCTCGGAACCCAGCGGCTTCTGGCAGAAATCCCTCGGGACTTAATTCCTAAAACATCAGAAATCCAAAATTGTGACACCATATGCCCTTCATTATCAGCAACAGAAAACAAATCATCTAATGACGCCGTCTCGGCAGGTCTGAATATTGGGGGAAAATCCCAAATAATAATGGTGGGTCGTCTGTCAAAAAATTGAATGTAATCAAAGCGCAGAGAGAGTCAAGTGGAAATCATCTGCCACAAAGGCAGGGGGAGGGGAGGGAGGGGGTGTACTGGGGTTCTTGGTGGTGGCACATGTGCACTGGTTAAGGGGCGGGTGTTTGATCATCGTAAGACCGAGACTTAGACCCGAAAGCTTAGTAACTGTTGTCACGGTGATTCAATAAGAAATAAATAAACAAACAAAATACTCTTAGAGTCTGTGGGCTAGCTCTTACACGTTGGAGAGACGGGCGGAGACCAGCACAGGGGGTGGGGCAGGTAGTGCCTGGCCCGGCTGGCTCACTCCAACACCCTAGGGCGCCTGTGTGCAGAGCCAGCTGTGGGCCCTCCCTCCCAGAACACGGGGCCACCGCCACCTGCACAGCGGACCAGAATAGCCCTGACACCCGCAACCGGGGGGCAGGACGACAGAGCAGGAGCCTGTCCCTCAGCCCTGCACGCTGAGAGGCCTCAGACGCACTGCCGGGGTATCTACACTCAGACACACACACACTCACACAATCACTCACACACACTCAACCACACACTCACACTCACACTCACACACACGCACTCACTCTCACAAACACACACAATCACACACTCATTCACACACTCACACTGACACACTCACACATACATGTGCACACACTCACAATCACACTCACACTGACACATGCAGTCACTCTCACACACACACACACTGACAAACACACAGACACAAATACACTCACACACTCATACACACAGTCACACACTGACATACCCTCAAACACACAGTCACATTCACACACTCAGACACTCACAGGCTGAACTCCTGCAGCACCCCCCCCCCCCACACACACACACACACACCAATCCGTGCTACAGACACTGTGGGCATGACCCGACCCAGGCCCAGACCCAGACCTGGACAGCCTCAGGGAAGAGCCCATGTGAGGGGTGAAACAGGCCCCAAGGATTGCCCAAGCACAGGGACAGGCCAGGGGGCAGACCCGGGGCCCTCGCTCCCCACTGTGGGGCTGGCCTGCCCGTGAGCACGCCACGAGGCGCCTGTGGCATCCGCGCCCTCGGCTGTGTCCAGGGCTGCTGGCGCGAGGCGCCTCTCTCCGACGGCAGCTCCAGGGGGCCAGAAACACCTCAGAGACAAGGGGTAAGCCAGGAGAAACTACTCCGTCCTGGCCACAGCCACGGTGCTGACCACGGCCCTCACTGGCCACAGCCCTCACTGACCAGACCTCAGTGACCACAGCCCTCACTGGCCACAGCCCACATTGACCACAGCCCTCACACGGACCACAGCCCTCAGTGACCGGAACCCTCACTGACTGGAACCCTCACTGACCACAGCCCACATTGACCACAGCCCTCACACCGACCACAGCCCTCAGTGACCACAGCACTCACTGACCACAGCCCTCACTGACCATAGCCCTCACTGACCACAGCCCTCAGTGACCACAGCCCTCACTGACCAGAACCCTCAGTGACCACAGCCCTCACTGGCCATGCCCACAGTGACCACAGCCCTCACACTGACCACAGCCCTCACTTACCAGAGCCCTCAATGACCATGGCCCTCACTGACCACGGCCCACAGTGACAACGGCCCTCACTGGCCACAGCCACGGTGCTGACCACAGCCCTCACCTAGCACAGCCCCCACTGACCAGAGCCCTCACTGACCACAGCACTCACTGGCCATAGCCCACAGTGACCATAGCCCTCACACTAACCACAACCCTCACTGATAACAGCCCTCACTGACCAGAGCCCTCGGTGACCATAGCCCTCACTGACCATGGCCCTCAGTGACGATAGCCCTCAGTGACCACAGCCCTCACTGGCCAGAACCCTCACTGACCGGAGCCCTCGGTGACCACAGCCCTCACTGGCCACAGCCCTCACTGACCACATCCCTCGGTGACCACAGCCCTCACTGACCACATCCCTCAGTGACCACGGCCCTCACTGACCACAGCCCTCACACTGGCCACAGCCCTCACTGACCACACCACATACACCACACGGCAATCCACGCAACTTAACCATGCAATGACCCACTAAGAAAATCCAGGGTTCTCGGTCTCCCACACGCTTCCGAATTTCAAACCACATTCTACCAAACCCAGTTGAGCTGAACTGAAACGTGTTAATAATTTCAAGAGTATTGATTTTATTTTATGGGTTTGAAACTTTATTGAGTATCACATTACAAGACTGAGAAATGAGGTGAAGATTCCACGAGCGCCTGAGAGCACGTCTCTCCTGGACCCCAGGACCTGCAGGCGCCTGTCCCTGTCCGCGCGTGTGGAAGGCCGGGTCACCCTCACTCACGCCCTGACCCCGAGGCTGCCCCGGGCTCACCAGCACCTGGACAGAGAGGGCAGCTGCAGCGGGGCCCGAGGCGTCCACCTCCTGGCCTCACCGTCCCCAGGCCCTACTCCGGGGCCTGAGTCGTGCTCACGGCAGAGACCCGGTCCCACAGCTGCGGTCTGCAGAGCCCCGGTCCCCAGTCCCAGACCCACCCAACCAGAGCCTGCTCTGTGGCAAGCTCACCTCGTACAAGTGAGAAGCTAGGCTCAGAGGATGTTCAAAACACAAGGAATTGCAGAAACTTCATATTTATACCCAAATCTTGAGGGTCCGTAAAGGACTTTAGTGGCTATCCTTCAGAGCCCTTCAGCGACAATAAGACTATCTCTGTACTATTCTTGGTGAACTGGTTACGCATACTTTGTATGTCTGTATTCGTCATTCGTAAAAATGTTCAAAAGCATCAGATCCAAGAAAGACTTGCTCTGATTCATCTCTGAGAACAGTTGCGAGCCAACAACGGAACCCGCCAACCTCAACACAAACCTCAATTACCCCATTAACCACAAGCTGAGATTCTGTCAGATACTTCAGTAATATCGACAACAATATACGAAGCCTCAGAATTCGTCTAAATGTGAATCCTGTCTCTGATGTTGGCTAGAAAAGAAACGGCGGTAAGTGCCTATTCAAACCCAAAATGGAGTTTACACGATCAGCCTAATCAGTCATTCGACATATTTGTTCTTATTCTTCACAGCTTTTCCCAGCTTAAAATTTTTGTGCGTATTACCTTTTTAATAATCATTTTAGGATTGAACAAAATACTATTAGAACTTCGCAAAAATAGGATCATGTGGATAAAAAAGATAAGAGCACAAGACAATTGCTACATGCCAAAAAAACATCATACTTGAGAGGCTGGAGCAGGGGCTGGAGCGATAGCACAGCGGGGAGGGCGTTTGCCTTGCACGCAGCCAACCCGGGTTCGACACCCAGCATCCCACATGGTCCCCTGAGCACCGCCAGGGGTGATTCCTGAGCGTAGAACCAGGAGGAACCCCTGTGCATTGCCGGGTGTGACTCAAAAAAAAAAAAAAGAGGCTGGAGCCATCGTACAGCAGGTCGAGCATTTGCCTTGCACGTGGCCAACCCAAGTTCAATCCCCAGCATCCCACAGGGTCCCCCGAGCACCGCCAGGAGTAACTCTGGAGTGCAGAAGCAAACCCTGAGCATCGCAAGGTGTGTCCCCACCCACACACCCACACATACACACACACAAAAAAAAACCCACAAAGTTCCCCTCCACTCTATCTGTCCTCCTGAAACTACACCTATAAGGGCTGAGACAGTTCGGGGATGAGGCACATTCGGGGACCTCTCTGCAGCCCCTCGCCACAGGGAGTGACCCTCAAGTAGCCCCCACGCACCACCAGCCATGGCCCCAAAGCCCCTCCCTCAAAGTATGTCTAGGGTATTTACTCTGTCGGTAAAGTTCCTTTTGTCATTGTTGCTAAAAACTCAGAAGTGGGGGAAATGTTAAAAAGCCCTAGAATATAATGCAGAAGCAGCCAATCTCCATCCCCAAACTACCCACACGGAGGCCCCACATGGGCCAGCAGCTCAGCGATCTCTTCTCCTGGGGCCCAAGGCCGCCGGGTGAGACCGCAATCATCACTGACTTTCTGCTAAGGAAACTTTTTCTAAATCATTCTTTTAGCAAATGATTTATAACATTTTTTCATTTCATTTCATCATCCTGTTAATCGTCGATTGCCTCGAGCAGGCCCCAGTAACGTCTCTTTCATCCTAGCCCTGAGATTATATTCACGGCTCTTTAGGAGAATGAGACCCATCATTGTTACTGGTATTTGGCATATTTGGTATGGGGAGTTTGCCAGACTCTGCCCTGTGGGCAGGCTACATTCGATAGCCTGCAAGTTTGTCCAAAGTAGGAATGAGATAATAAGATGTCATAAAGAAAAGATCAGATAAGATGTCGTGCAGCCGGATTTATAACAAGTAATATGAAATAAATTATTGAGGGCCTGCTATGGGAGCAGGCTTAAGGGGTGGGAAATAATGGGGCATTAGTGGGGAAAATTGGAAATAATGGTGGTGGTGCAATGGAGAGATGGTGGGGGGATTGGTGCGGGAATACTGAATGCCTGTAACAAATCACCATCAACAACTTTGTAAAAAAAAAGAAGAAGAAGAAACAAAAAACCAGTAGAAGTGCTCAAAGTATAGTCCACTCTCTGCCCATCATCCACTCTCCATGGTCCCGCCAATATCCGTCTGACACTCGCTTTGCTTAAATCAGACCCTGCAACAACAGGGCCCTCGAAGGACTCGTGCTCAGAAAACAGACAGAACTCTGGTAAAACGGAAACAAACAGGTAAACAGGCACATGTCCAGGGGAGAACAAATCCAACAGCCAAGAAGCATCAGCAGATGAAAACATTCAACCACAGAAGTAGTGAACAACAAAGTACAAAGTAAAATCACGGAACACCGAAAAATGATTGAAGATTAGAAAGAACGTGGAAGATCAGGATGTGCAGAACAGATACGAAACCGGGATTTTCAAACTTACTTCAAGAGCTCATAATTCTTCTCATTTAATCTCACGGCATTTTCTCTCCAAAACTTCTCCGACTTGTGCACAGGGCTCCACTCCAGCCTCCCAGATTTCAGTTCTGAACTGTACTCGTCGAAGGAGCTACAAAACGTTTACAAAATTCTAAGTTTACGAGAACCCCATACTCTTCTAAATAAGAAAAATACGTAGAGCATCTCTGCGACGAATTCAAGCGTCCAAGGCGCCCCATCCCTGTACGGGAACCCCCTGGGCAAACTCAAGCCGCCGACGAGCCTTTATCAAGGTGACTGTGTCGGGTCTTGAGGCGACATCCCATCCGTGGGCGACTGTGACCGCAGAAGGCGAGGCGCTCCCTCCAGACATGCCGCCTGGGACACGTGTATGCTCAGCAGCCCGGCGCCAGCAGGCCGCCAGAAGGCACCTCAGTCATCACGCCCGGCCCCCGCTAGGCACACTCGTGAGTTTACACCTAAGTCCACTACTTTAGCATGAAATGAAGCTGCCTCTTCTAAGGCTACTCTAGAAAACGCCTTACGCTACGGAAAAGTGTCACAAAGACAATAAACAAGCAGCAGTAGGCCCATCTTGCAATGTCGGGAAGATTTTTAGGATTGCCAAATTCAGCATTAACAAATCACAGGGCGGGTGGGAACACACCGTGGGCAAGGAGCTGGCCTGCACGGGCGGGCTCAGGTGCGACCCCTTCACGCCCCAGCGGGAGAGAGCCTGAGTACAGGCCAGGAGACGCCCTGAGCACCACCAAGTCTGGACCAAAAGAAAGTAATAATAATAATAATAATAGGGGCTGGAGCGATAGTACGGCAGGGAAGGCGTTTGCCTGGCATGTGGCCGACCCGGGTTCGATACCCAGCATCCCACAGGGTCTCCCAAACGCCGCCAGGAGTGATTCCTGAGCACAGAGCCAGGAGGAACCCCTGTGCATCGCCGGGTGTGACCCAAAAAGCAAAAATAAATAGGTAAGTAAAAATGGATAGAGAGTTCAAAACCAAAGAAATGCGTAGGCGAATGAAGACCCCCAAGCGCTGGTGAGGGAGAAAGGAGCAAGGCCCAGGGCCCCGCCCGAGACAGCGGGTGGAGGGGCGGGGTGTGGAGGGCGCAGGCTTTCTCCACGGCCGGCCACCGTCAAGCATTCTTCACAGAGAGCAGCTCAGGCGCTTGAAAGCTTCTCTGGCTTCAAGGCAGTCAGGCCCCCTCCCATTAAAGTCCCCAAAGAGAGGGACAGACATAGAAAGATTGCATTCATCTGGGGAACATAAAGTAACAAAATAAGAGACTAACACCCAAGAATGGCCGAGATAAGTACCAGGAGGTTCACTCCATGGCTTGAGGCCAGCCGCACACGCTAGGGGAAAAGGCAGCTCAGATAGGGAAGGGAGCACCAAATAAAGGGTGTCGGGAGGATCCTCCCAGGATGGCAGATGCATGCTGGAAGTAGACTATGGACTGAACATGATTGCCACTCAATGGCTCTTTTGCAAGCCACAACACCCAAAAGGAGGGAGAGAACAAAAGGGAATACCCTGCCACAGAGGCAGGGTGGAATGGGCGGTTGGGGGGTGGGAGGGATACTGGGACCCGTGGTGGTGGGAAGTGGGCACTGGTGGAGGGATGGGTATTTGATCATTGTATAATTGAAACCCAAGCACAACAGCTTGTAAGTCTACAACTGTACCTCATGGTGTCTCACGAATAAAAATTTAAAAATCATAAATCAATCAATCAATCAGTCAAGTCCCCCGGCCCCAAGCCACAGCCAGGGCAGACCCCGAGCCGGGAGGAGGCGGAGAGGCGGGCGAGGCCCCGAGAACAGCCCGGAAGGGCTGCCCTGCCGTCCCGCGGGCAGCCAGCTGCTGTGTGCTCCAGAGCACGAGGCTCCGGGAACCGCAGCCGCCCGCCGGGTAGGCCCGCACCGCGGCTCCCCAGCCCCCGCCCGAGCGAGGGGCTCACCTCAGGTCCTGCACGCTCTCGCCCAGCTTCTCCAGCAGGAACTTGATGTCCTCGCTGATGTCCTCGTCGTCGTACTTCTGCTGCTCCAGGTTCTCCAGCTGCTTCAGCACTTTGCACTGGATCATGGCCAGCGCGTACTCCTGCCGGCTCTCGCGCTCCGTCGCCTTCTCTAGGAAGTTCTGAGGCAGACAGAGGCAGTGAGACTCCTGCGTCCTGACGCCACCGCCCCCCCCAGAGTCCCTTCCGGCAGAGCGTCTCTGCCTCCCGCTCACCGAGGTGCAACCCCGGCGCTGGCCCAGACAGCCTCAAAACGGGACACAGTGACGACGGGACTCGCACGCACACAGGCCCTCCCAGGGCACAGGCTGCACCGCGTGGTTTGCTGAGATCTCTCGTTTCCAGTCTGTCGCCCTCCCACCTGCCAGCCCACCCCGACCACCACCAGCCTGTCCTGTGCAGCAACACAAACCACAGCGTCTCTAAAGCATTTCTCCGGCTGGCTTAGATCATTACCAGGGATCCTTTGGGACCCTCAGGCAAATTCCCCCGTTTCACTCTCAAGAGCTTTCACAGCCAAGGATCAAAGTCTTTTCTGCAAACAACCTTTCGTGAATCAACCCAGCATGGACCGGACCCAGCCGGGGGCCAGAGCAGGGCAAGCGCCCAGGACAAAGCCACACGCAGCCGGTACAGACCAACCACCCAGGGTCCCCTGCAGAAATAGCACGAGGCATGAATTCCAACACAGCTGCACCAAAATTCGAAGCTCTTTATTCAAAGGTGAATGCCGGCCTCACTGCTAACAATTAGGCTCGGTATGCAAAAAGACTTTGTCTGCTTCAGGAAACTCAGAGCTGGCTGCCCATCAGTCCGGCCTATATGGTCCCACCAGATCTCTTCTCTCTGTCTGAGGAACCCCAATTTCTACCGCCCTCTCAGACCCTCAGCACCTTCAACAAAGTCTTATTCTCTGGGATGTGCCCAGTGTTTGGCTTTTAATATTCGGGACCAGGAGCAGGTCCAAAGGCCTGGCACACACAGGACCGAGGTCTATGAAAAACTATTATTAACAGTGTCGCGACCCAAAAATTAATAAAATCTTTTAGGAAAAAAGTCTTAACTGTGATAAAAACCCATGTTTTTGTTACGGAAACCTGCATCTGAGTGTGTACAAGAGTGTGGGAGTGAATTAAACATCATGATTAATGCAGCTCATGAAAATTCAATTTGGTGATTTCTTCCCTAAGCCTTTCTGCTGAAAACCATACACAAAAATAGAACTGATTGTGTTTTCTGCCTCATTAGATAAGCCATTGACCAAGAAGGACTACAAGAAAATTCACAGCAGGAAAAAAAGAGACAAAACTCAAGACAATAAATATGCTCTTTGCCGTGTCCCTCAGCCATCGTGACCTTTAAACAATTCCATCCACCGGAGAACTGAAGGCCGACACACTGACTCAGCCAACAGAACCGACTCTGCAGAGACCTGGAACTCAGGACCTGCTGGGCGGGAGTGAGACGGTTCCACTCAAGAAGATTCAGCCGGTGTGATGGAAGGAACCCTGACTAGCCCGGCTGGGCTCCTGCGGCTCACGGAAGCAGGCAAGTGGCTGAAACTCTTCAGCACAAAATTGTGCACCTGGAATTTCAGGTTTCAGGGGAAAAAACACACGACTATGATATTCTTCGGATATGAACCGTCTCCACACAGTGCCGTGACATGAGGGCGCAGAAGCCAACGCTCTGGACGGCAATCACACGGCACGAGATTCACCAAGTCAAGTGTCATTCAGCTAAGCTAAATACAAAATGCTCTACGCCAATTTCATCTCAACAAAAACACATTTAGATGTCCGAAGGCATTTGCGAATGATTTTTAAAAGACATTATTTCTCACCTATTCAAGAGTCCAAATCAAATGACTTTATTGCTTATTTCCTTACTGGTCAGTCAGTCTGAACTCACTGTGTGCATACTGTGTGCATCTGAGCTGTCGGTCCTCTAGGGATGCTCTCCCGGCCCAGTGCTCGGAACACTCAGGCAATAATCACATTGATTCAGATTTACAATAGGAGGATCTAATATCCCTACTGATTCACGGGATCTGCTTTAAATCATCTGAAGTTTAATGTTGGTGCTGGGGGCTGAAGCGATAGCACAGCGGGTAGGGAGTTCGCCTTGCACGTGGCCAACCCAGGTTCAATTCCCAGCATCCCATCTGGTCCCCTGAGCACTGCCAGGAGTAATTCCTGAGTGCACGAGCCAGGAGGAACCCCTATGTATTGCTGGGTGTGACCCAAAAAGCTAAAAAAAATAAAAAAAGTTTTTTTTAAAAAAAGTTTAATGTTGATGCTACTGCAGAAATGACCGAAAACAAAACATAGTCCACTATACAATCGTCATCGACATTAAGCCAAATCTTTTGGCAAAAGAGTGGCATGTGACCACTCTGTGGAGCTCTTTCAATCGCTCCAATGTCACTTAAAAGTTGTCTTCCATAGAGGCCGGGGGAGGGTGGGATCCAGGGGGTGGATACTGGGGACATGGGTGGTGGGGAATGTGCACTGGGGGAGGGATGGGTGTTCGATCACTGTATGACTGAAACTCAAACATGAAAGCTTGTAACTGTGTCTCACAGTAATTCAATTAAAAAAAAAATCATCTATTACTACGCTGGCTACGATTGTGCGAGGGTCAGAAGGCAGTTTCTGGCGGAGGACAGGGGCTGCCGCCATCTCACCGAGAGCAGAGTGCTCGCGAGCCCTGCTAACCCACACTGCCTCGAGCCCCTCTGCCTGCTCTGCAGAGCCCGGGTTTCCCGGCGCGCAGACAGCCTGGGCCTCAGAAGAGCCAACACAGCGCCTCTCCCCAACCGGGCGGGGGGGTCGGCCTGAGCTTCGAAACGTGGCCAAGCAGACTTCTGGGCCCCTCTTCTTCCGAGAGAAGGCGCCAGTGTCAGCCAGACCCCAACTGAGGAAAGCGCTCCGGGGACTCAGACTCGCGAAGTCTCAAGGTATGACGACGGGAGAGGCAGAGAAAGGGTCGTGGGCTGAGAGGGCGAAGAGAAAAGCAGGACACGCACGGGACGCTGAAATAAACCTGGGGACACAGAAAGGACATCAGCAGAGAAGACTGTAGTTTGGCTAACAGCACTGAACTACTGTGACCTCTCACTTTGGATCGCTATGCCTGGGATACATGACACTACTCTAAGACCAAGCCGTCTGAGTAGATCTGTTCCACTTTTGTCAATCCCTGAAAATACTTTTTTTTCCTTCCTTGGGCCATACCCAGTGGCGCTCGGCCACGTGCAAGGAGAGCGTCCTGCCCGCTGGACCGTCTCTCCCATCTCTCTGGCCTCAAAACGCTTTGCCAGACTCACTGCCACCCCGCCCCTGGCAAAACAGCCCGGTGTTCAGTACTGCCACCTTTATCCATTACCAAACCTTCTGGAAGACTCGCTGTGACTTCCACGTCTTGTACCCTCACGTTATGGAGACGGGCCCTTCGCTTAAACACCAGCACCAACCCCCACTGATGACCAACTTCTCGTCTGCATCTTCCTGAGACATCACTAAGGTGCAGAAAGTTAGCGCTGTGCTTCGGACGGGGCTTGGGCGTAAAGACACCCTGCAGCTGGCCTTATCTCCTATCCCCAGGCCCCTGCGGTGCTCTCCCTGTGAATAATGCTCTTCCCTTCCTCGCCTGAGTCTGGCGGGCACTGGAGGAGCGCTTCTAATTCCAAGAACTCCCTGGGGTTCATAACGGGGCGAACTCTTGGATGGGGGACGCCCAGCTTTGGGCTTGTCCATTTTCCACCTGCCGTTTTCCCCGCTGAGGAGTTTACTCTGCTTTCAAGGGGGAGAGAAGGCGATTCTCCTCTCCCTTCGACACGTAAAGGCCCCTTGGTGGGTCGGCGCTGGCTGACTTTCAACACTAAGGCGTCTGAGGCAGTGGGAAAGAGATGGGGAACAGTCGGGAGGGAAAGGCACTTCTGCCATCCCGAGACAATCGACGACAGCTTCATCAAAGACTGCCGACCACAGATCATCCTCACGAATGTAATAAGGGCTGCTTGTGGAATTATCAGAATTACCAGCAGGACGCAGGGGCGCAGTGAGCACACGCTGTTGGAAGGACGGCACAAGCAGAAAAGCCTGGCGCGGGCGCGCAGACCTTCCCTCTGTGTAAACAAGACGATTCCCAGCAAAATGCAGTAAGAGATCCTGCCCCGGGCGTGGCGAGGGAGCTCCCTGGGTAGAAACAGCTTCTCCTGACGGGCTCACTCGAGGGCAGAAATGTCAGTGGCGGCAGCTCCCGGGTTCAGGCAGACGCTCGGCTGCACAGGCGGGTCCCTCCCTCCTGCAGAAAGCTGCCGGTCTCAGGACGACCTGTGGCCCTGTTCCTCTGCCCCGTCCAGTCCCTTCACACGCACTTCCGGGTGGCCAGGGAGGCGGTGGGAGGCGGAGGGGCCACCGTGAGTGCCCCTCACAGCACTCACTGCCGACAGTCCAGGAGGGCGCTCAGCACCCTCTCCACGTCCCTCCGTCTGCATCTGCCCCCGCACCCTTCCAGCACCTCCCGCGGGGCAGAGACGGCAGAGGCTGAGACTCCGTGCCCGGCACCGCACACGCTCCCAGCATCTCCGGAAGGGACCCACGAGCACAGAGCCAGGAGTAAGCCCAAGCACCAAGGAGCGTGGCCCAAACCCAACTGCCGCAACACCCCCCCCCCGGCAAAAAAAAAAAAGAAAACTTCTTAAGTTTTCCCCAAATTGATAAATAATAAAACCGAGTCTCGTTTCTTTATCCTGCTCTTATAAAAGTTTCTTGTCACTGTGTTAAACTGACGTTCATGTATGTGTTCTGCCTCCATCAGCTGGCAGGCCCTTGGCTTGAGCTTTATCCTAAGCATCTGTGTTCCCCATGATCAGCATAATGCCAAGAGAGAAAGAGAGAGAGAGAAAGAAAGAAGGAAGGAAAGAAGAGAGAGAGAGAGAGAGAGAACTCGCTTGTGAGTTAAACGGAGCCTTGGCAAGCAAAGGCATCTGGGAAGGGTTTCTATTTGTAGAACTTCTCATCTTCACTAGGTAAGCAAGTGTTCATTCATCATCTGTTATTCGTCGATTGCCTCGAGCAGGCCCCAGTAACGTCTCCTTCATCCTAGCCCTGAGATTATATTCAAGGCTCTTTCGGAGAATGAGACCCATCATTGTTACTGGTATTTGGCAAACGCCACGGGGAGTTTGCCAGACTCTGCCCTGTGGGCAGGCTACATTCGATAGCCTGCAAGTTTGTCCAAAGTAGGAATAAGACAATAAGATGTCATAAAAAAAAAAAAGTCCTGTTAAGATGTCGCGCGGCCGCAAATGCGGCCGCACGGTTCTGGGATCTGGATTTTATAGTCTCTGAGTCTTGGCCGCTGATGGGATTACACGGCGCCAGGGGGCCAGGTGGTGGGTGTGACCCCCGCCTACTGGAATTTGGAGGATCTGGGTGGAAGATGCTCGACTCTAATTCGAGTAGGCTTGGAGGTCTCGGCCCTGGAACCCGCGTGGCTTTGTCCCTCTGCCAGTACCTTCATGTGTGCGGAGAGTGGTCTCAGCATGGTGGTGGCTGGTCCTGGAGGTCTCCGGCTGCCGTAGCCCTGGCCGGGGCTGGGAGGAAAGCTCAACCCGCTCCCCTCCAAGGGACTCCGGGAAGGAACACCCAGGCGCGGGGGCAGAGACTGCACTGCTCTCGTCCTCCGGGAGCTGGTTTTTATAGTCTCTGAGTCTTGGCCGCTGATGGGATTACACGGCGCCAGGGGGCCAGGTGGTGGGTGTGACCCCCGCCTACTGGAATTTGGAGGATCTGGGTGGAAGATGCTCGACTCCAATCCGAGTAGGCTTGGAGGTCTCGGCCCCGGAACCCGCGTGGCTTTGTCCCTCTGCCAGTACCTTCATGTGTGCGGAGAGTGGTCTCAGCATGGTGGTGGCTGGTCCTGGAGGTCTCCGGCTGCCGTAGCCCTGGCCGGGGCTGGGAGGAAAGCTCAACCCGCTCCCCTCCAAGGGACTCCGGGAAGGAACACCCAGGCACGGGGGCAGAGACTGCACTGCTCTCGTCCTCCGGGAGCTGGATTTTATAGTCTCTGAGTCTTGGCCGCTGATGGGATTACACGGCGCCAGGGGGCCAGGTGGTGGGTGTGACCCCCGCCTGCTGGGATTTGGAGGATCTGGGTGGAGATGCTCGGCCCCAATCCGAGTAGGTGTATGGTGTATGTAAGCAAGTGTACGGACAATAAAGCTGCTCGAAGAGAGCATCACTGCCAGGTGTGGTCCATGAGGCCCCCAAGCACCATGGAGACGGCCCTGAGCATCCTTGGACCCTCAGAGAGAACCATCTAGATAGCAGCCCAGACTAGACCTGGGCCCCAAGACGTGCTGGGCACGGCTGGGCACGGCTTGGGAGGCTATGCCCGTCCCAAAGAGGAGGAAAACATTCGCTTTTAGCTACTAAACCAAAACAAAGTTTTGGTTCTAATTTTTCTTTTCTGGTTTGGGGCCACACCTGGCGGTGCCCAGGGGTTCCTCCTGGCTCTGCACTCAGGAGTCACTCCCGCGGGCTCAGGGGGGTCACATGGGACGCCCAGGATCGAACCCAGGCCGGCCACACACAAGGCAAAGGCCCTGCACGTTGCACTACCCCTTGGGTCTCCCATCTATTCTTTATTTCTTGAGAGGGAATTTCTGGTTTTCTGGGTTCTGGGTTTGGGGGGGGCGGGGAGGATTCTTCGTGGTGCTGTCAGGAATGGAACCCAGAGCTTCCTCGCGTGCGCAGTAAGTGCTTTCCAATAACCCTCTCCCGGGCCCCTACAGGTGAGTTTCCTAAAGGCACGGAATCCTTTTTGCATGAAAAAGAGTGCCCTATATAAGCAAGAATAACAGAAAGCAAGAAACTGAAGAGATCGTGCATGCAGTGGGTAGGACACTTGCCTCACACATGGTTAACCCGAGTTTGGTCCCCGACACCCCATCCCGGTCCCCCGGGCCCACCAGGAGTGATCCCTGAGCAAATAGCCCAGAGTAAGCCTGAGCACAACACAAGTGAGAGAGAAAGAGAAAGAGAGAAGAGAGAAATAGAGAAAAAGAGTAAGCGAGAGACAGAGATAGAGAGAGACAGAGAGGAGAGAGAGAGAGAGAGAGAGAAAGAGAGAAAGGGGAAGCAGCGTAAAGCTGAGTGATGCGGGGAGGGCTGGCTGGCCGCCCCCGCTCTCAGTTCACCTTCCACGGCCTCAGAGGAGACCCGCATTCACCGCATCGGAACCGGGACCCGTCACTCCCGGGCCGGACTCTGTGTCCTGGTCTTTCCGTCCCGGCCTTCCATCTGACGGCCGCACTTCAGATTCCCGACACAGTGAAGCCAGGAAAGGAGGAACGGAGACGGTGGCTGACTGAAGCGGGTGGCGTCGGGGCCAAAGCAAGGTCGTCAGGACCCAGACCCATCGCGTGCCGCCCACCGACCTCCAGCTGCCTTCCTCACCGGGAACGCTAACACCATGGAACCCACTGTGTGACCGTGAAGGCGGAACAAGGCAACGGGCCAGGGCCTGCGTGACGGGAGACCGGGTCACAGGCGCCCTGCAGGGCCCAGCCCTCGCTCGGCCAGCCAGGGCAGCCCCTGGGCACTGCCGGAAGCTGCTGGAAAACCAAACAAACACACACGGAGCCGCGTGAAACCCCTGGTCTCAGCAAAGGCGGACGAGCCTGCAGCAGAGCCCTGGGACTGTGGAAGCCCTGGGCACACCAGCCCTGGGGAGGGGAGGCACGCGGAGAGTCGCCAGCTCGTAACACCGTGTCGGCACCACTGGGTTCAGCCCGGCTCAGCGCCCAACTTCCCCATCTGTTCAAAGGACGAGGCTGACTCACAGAACCATCAAATTCTACTATCCTAAAAAAAAAATTTAAATGATAATGATTCTACTCTTCCAAGAGTTCCAGATCTTTGAAGCTGCTCAGAAATCCACTGCCGGGGGGCTTGAGTGACAGCACAGCGGGTAGGGCGTTTGTCTTGCATACGCGGCCGACCCGGATTCGATTCCCAGGATCCCAGATGGTCCCCTGAGCACCGCCAGGAGTAACTCCTGAGTGCAGAGCCAGGAGGAACCCCTGTGCATCTCCGGGAGTGACCCAAAAAGCAAAACAAAAAACAAAAGAAAAAAAAAACACCAAAGAAATGCACTGACGCTCCACAGGAAGCAAGGCAGGGGAGGAGTGTCAGAGACCCCCACAGCCCCCAGCCCTACCCCTCAGCCGCCTCCTAGCAAGGGCTCTTCCCCAGGTAGCAGCCCAGGTGGGGGACCGGGGGGAAGCCCTGCAGAGCCGATGGAGCAAGAAAGCTGCGTGGACCCAGCCCAGGTGCTGCCGTGCCGGTGTCACTGCCAGGCACGTGTCGCCCGCATCCCCCTCGAGACGGGGCTTCCATATGGGACGCAGGGACGTGTCCTGGCCTCTCCCCGTCTTTGAAGACGTGGCGACACCGTTCTCTCCTCAACCTTGCTCTCTCTCTCTCTCTCTCCCTCCCTCCCCTTTCTCGGAAACCTCCAATAAAATCTGCTTTTCCTTTAAAAAGAAGAAGCAAAGAAAGAAATGTAACGCAACTCAGTAGATCCAGAACCAGAAAAGGGACTTGCCACTCTCTGACCATGAGGCGACTCCCTTTCCTCATTTCCTTTCTAGCGCCCTGCAAGCCTCACACTCCGTCCTTTCAAATGAGTTTCTCCCACACAGCGCCACTCCGCTGGGCCAGAAACACCAACCGGCTCTGAGCCCACCAATAAGTCTGGAAAAAAGGCAATTCCATATCCCACCTGCCGATGGTCTTCTATTTTGCTTCACAGCGTAAAATACCTCACCAAATGCACACGCACAGACACACAGACACATACACACATTCATGCACCGAGCGTGCACACACGCACACACACGTACATACACACGCGCGCGCGCGCACACACACACACACACACACACACACACACACAAAGGCACCATCAAAAGAACCGCAGCAGCACTTACCCGGAAGGCCGCCAGGATGATCCGGGTCACCTTCTCCTTGACGGACTCCTGCAGGATGTCGGACAGCACCGGGATGATGTTGTAGCGGCGCAGGTGCTCACACATCTGCGGGCTGAACGCCAGGAGCCAGATGGAGAAGATCATCTGGTACTGCAGCTGGAAGCCACACTTGTTGCTCAGAACGCCCATTATGCTGGAAAGGAAAAGGCAGTGAGAACGCATTCCGCGGGAGAGCGGAAGGGGGGAACGACTATTCTCTTCTGGCATGAGAAAGACAAAATCTTTCTGAACCGTGTCCTCAGTTTCTCTTCGACCAGCAACAACAAGCGAATCGGACCCCTCGCAGAGAAGGCCGGCCCCAGGCCTCGGCCCAGGGGTCACCGTGCTTGAACAAACGCAACACTCGCTGCAGGAAATAAGCCGACACACAACACAGTGAAGGGAACGGTGAGAGGAATGTGACCAACACTGAAGAAGCGGAAGCCAGCAACAGAGACGCACTGGGCAGGCCCTGACAAGGACGCAGGGCCACAACTCTGAGTCGAGATGGCCAAGGAGACCATTAATAAGTGATGGCGTCAGATATACTCAGGAAACTCAGGCGGGAGGCGGGGGAGAGACTGGTGGAATCCTGTCTTGTCTGAATATGAACTACCCAATGAATCTGGGGTCCGAGCCTCAGAAGCCTCTAGCCAGTCTCCCAGTTCACTGACACTGGGTCACTGGGTGGGCACCAAAGAGGCTGGCCCAAGGGTAAGCCCTCGAGAAATTTCTCTGGGGAGTGTTCGCACTTAAACCTGCAAGACAGAAACTGCCCAATCAGACCACTAAAAAAAAAAAAAAAAAAAAACAGAATTGCAGGAAACTCAAAACCTATAGAACACACAACTCAGAGTGAACCCTAATGCAAACTACTCATCTTCGTTAAAAAATTTATCAATCGTGGCTCATCAATTGAAATATACCACAATAACACAAGATTTAATAATAGGAAGACTGTGGGTGCTTCCTATACACACACACATACTAATACATACTGCATTTATACTTTCTATGAAAACCTAAAAAAATAAAGCCAATAAACAAAAAAAGTTAAACTTAAATCGTTCTTGCAGTGCCAGAGATCAAACTCAAGGCCTCAACACAAGCCAGCTACACCCTGGCCCAAATAAAATCTCATACTGATGTCTACGATCTCCAGCCTCAGGATTCTGATCCTCTCCCGCTTGGCCCAGTTCCACCCGTGCAGCGGCCCAGCCCCCCGCCTGACTCTCCTCGCAGTCCTCTCAACCCTGCTGGTCTCGGTTCGCTCTGCCACAGTCCTGCAAGGGCTAGAAAATCAGGGCGCCTGACACCGTCCACGGCGGCTGTGGTCCCCTCTGCCTCTGGGTGTCCTTCCACGCTGGGCTCTGAGGGCCGAGCGGTCAGCCCTGTTCCTGCAGGTCAGCTGACCACAGGAACGGAGGGAAGAAAGCTCTCCTGGAGCGTCCTGCTTGCTCCCTCTGGGCACTACTCCTTCTGGGCACTATTCCTTCCCCCGGGCACTGTTCCTTGCCCTGGGCGCTACCCCTTCCCTTGGGCAGTACTCCTTCCCCTGGGCACTGTTCCACCCGGCCCCACGGCAGCCGTGCTTGCCCGGGAAACAGGCGCGTTCATTTTGCAGCAGCTCTGACAGGGCTGGCTCCGCCCACACCCACCCCCGACAGACCAAGGCAAGCACCAGGCAGACGCTGCCCTCCCACTCCCGGAGCCCAGAGTCCCAGCGCTGGGAGGAGGCCGAGCCACTCACGCCTGGATTTCGAGTGCACGCACACACCTGCCCAAGCCGGTCTGTTTCGGCAGCTCTGACCTCCGACCTGTGCTCTCCTGTGCAAGGGCCAATACCGGCCCTGCCCACTCTCTGGACACTGGAGAGATCCCATGTCCGTCCACAGATGGGAACTGGCCAGCTAGCTCTTCCCAGGTGACCTCAGTGAGAATCAAAACGTTTCCATGAGCAGAGGGCTTAAGGAGTGCTCGCCACTGGTCCCGTTGTTGAGGACAAGAACGAAAGGTTTCGGAGGGCGCCAGCAGGAGTGACCACCGGGCACAGAGCCAGGAGTCAGCCCAGAGCGCAGCTGGGCATAGCTCAAAAAATTAAAAACGAAAACACATTTCTAAGGTTAACTGAGCCTCCTGGAACGAACATCCATACACGAGAGGTGAGGAGGCAACCTGCTTAAATCCGATGACACAACGTCACGATCATCTAATAAGTTCCTCTTGCTCCGAGGCCTGGCTGGACCACCGAGCTCTGCCAAGGAACTGGCATCCTGTGTGGACTGTGCCCAGCAGAAAACGGTCTCTTCAGTTACCCCGGGAATAACTGACTTAATCGACATTAGCTCTTCCATTACGAAGAAATAAACTGACTTCCTCAGAGTCGAACAGAATTCCGTCCTTACTGGGGGGTGGGGGAGAAGCGGCCGGGCAATCTGCTGGTGCCGTTTTACTAAACGTGTGAACTTTGGGGACCTGCAAATCAGGATCCGGGGAAGAATCTCTCACTACGGGACAGGGAGGCAGTGAAGGGGAAAGGCACTTCCCCGGAACCCAGCAGACCCTACCTAGACCCCAACACTGCATCCAGCCCCGGTTATGCCAGAACGGAGACCGAGCACAGAGCCAGGAATAAGCCCTGGGGGCCACGGGGTGTGGCTCAAACCCCCCACCCCACCCCAAAAGGAGGGAAGGAAAAAAAAGCCCAATTAAACAGTATTCCAGAGAAAGTTTCGATTCACTCTGTTGAGTTCTGCTTCCGTTTTCCACAAGGCACTGCAGACTCCCTCCCCCCAAGGATCTGGAATTTGTTCTATGGAGTTTTCGGCTCTCGGGAGCTGATGACCTTTAAGATACACCTGACCACTCGGTGTGGCAGAATCTGGTTTCTAGGAAAGCTCGCGGGAAACCTGACAAAACAGCCGTTTCCAGGCAGGCGAGGCTGCTTAGCGCTCGACGACGGTCCTCCTCTCTGCAGATGTCCAGGAGCTGCTGCCCGGCCACCTGCACGGAGGAAAGGGCACTCACCAGTTCACCCCGTCGGCCTCCACCCAGGCAAAGCGGTACTCGTTGACGCGAAGCATGAGCTGCAGGCAGCCGGCCACGCACTGCACGTACTGGGAGCTCTGGGGGGACAGGGGGCGGCCGTCAGAACCTCAAGTGGACACCGGGCCCCGCGCCCGGAGCCCCCCAGCACGGCCCAGCCGCCCCAGGACGCGTAAGCTAGGCCCCCGGTTTGCCTCTGTCTTCGCTTCTGACGACGGAAGTTCCTCAGCCCCACCGGATCTACCCGGTCTGTAACACCCCCCCCGCCACACGGGCGTCAGGAAGGGCCCCGGGAACCTCCGGCACGGCCTGGTGAACATCGAGGGCCGTCCCCTCCTCCCCGCAGCTGCCGGGCACTGCCAGGAGGCCCGAGGAGAGGACGAGTGTCTGGTCTGACCCGATGCTCCTGGGCAACACGGAACCTGCCAAGCCCCAGTCGCTTCCTCCTCCCCGAGCCCTCCTGATGAGCACATTTGGAGGAGGAGGTGAGGAGTTCAGTGGGCGCGCAGCTAGTTAGAGAGACTCAACATGGAGAACTTGGACACGCTGCATGTCAGAGAGCGCTACACAAGAGGGCTGGAGCGACAGCAGAGTGAGCAGGGCGCCTGCCTGGCATACAGCCAACCTGGGTTCAATCCCCGGCACCCCATATGGCCCCCCGAGCACCCCCAGGAGTGGTCCCTGAGCACCGCCAGGAGTGATCCCTGAGCACCGCCAGGTGTGGTCCAAAAGAAAAAAGCTACATAACATATAAAAAATGGGAATTCCTGGAAAAGTGTAATTTCTTTAAATTGTCCGCAGAAACATCAGGGTTAAATCTGAAATGTGGAGTTGGAAAGAGAAGTATTATTAAGCCACTGTAAGGCCCCGCACCTTCCCCCAAACTAGCCACAATATCTAGCCTACATCTTCTCTATTCATCACCAGCTTTAATTTACATCCATGTGAAACAGGCAAGGAGAAACTGCACATCCCAGTCTTCACCAAAAGCAAAAAAAGAACTAGGTGACCTCACAAAACCTAAGGTATGTGACACTACCACTCTGTTTCATGAAAATAGAGCTGTCAGACTCAGCAATCCCAGAGACTCCAGGCCCCGCTGATTCCAGCACCCAGACAGAAGAGCACTTGATGGGAGAGTCCAAGAAACGTGTTAGCCTAGATACGACCAGAAAGCGGTGAACGCAGCCGTCCAGAGGTGCGTCGCACCCAGTAATAACGAGGGAGCATTTGACCCAGCAATACCACTCCTGGGAATATATCCCAGAGAGGCAAAAATGTATAGTCGAAGTGACATCTGCACTTGTTTGTTCATTGCAGCCCTCTTTACAATAGCCAGAAACTGGAAGAAACCTGAATGCCCACGAACAGATGACTGGTTAAAGAAACTTTGGTATATCTACACAATGGAGTACTATGTAGCTGTTAGAAAAGATGAAGTCATGAAATTTACATACAAGTGGTACAATATGGAAAGTATCATGCTAAGCGAAATGAGTCAGAAAGAGAGGGATAGACACAGAAAGATTGCATTCATCTGGGGGATATAAAGTAACAAAGTATGAGATTAATACCCAAGAATAGCTGAGATCAGCACCAGGAGGATTACTCCATAACTTAGAGGCCAGCCGGGTATCCTAGAGGAAAGGGCAGCTCAGATAGAGAAGGGAGCACCAAATAAAGGGTGTTTGGAGGATCCTCCCAGGAGGGGAGATGCATGTCGAAAGTAGACTATGGACTGAACATGTTTGCCACTCAATGCCTCTTTTGCAGACCACAACACCCAAAAGGAGAGAGAGAACACAGGGGATTGCCCTGCCACAGAGACAGGGGGGATGGGGGGATGGGGGTGGGAGGGATATTATCCATGGTGGTGGAAAATGGGCACTGGTGGAGGGATGGGTATTTGATCATTGTATAATCGAAACCCAAGCACAAAAAATAGTAAATCTACAACTGTACCTCATGGTGTTTCACTAATAAAAAAAAAAATCATTAAAAAAAAAAGAAAAAAAAAAAAAACGAGGGAGCGAATGTGGGGGGGGGGCCTGTCCCTTCAGCTGAGGCTGCCGGCTAGGAGTGCTCTGGGGAAGAGCGGCCCCCTCTGCTTCCGAAGGTTCCTCTGCCTCAGGAACACCCCACATGGTCCCCCCCAAGCCCCTCCAGAGCAGGCCCCGAGCACAGAGCCAGGAGCAAGCCCTCAGCACCGCCGAGAGTGGCCCCAAAAAACCAAAAGAAAAAACGTGTTTTGATGTTTGAAAGGAAGTTCCTTTACTGCGGTCCCAAAGCCCTGCTGCCCCGCGCGACCCCGCCTGCCTCGCCGCGAGCCGCAGGGAAGCTCACGGCCTTCTCACGGGCACCTCTCCCGAGCGGGCAGTGCCCACGCTGAGGCCCAGCAAGAGGGGGACCGAGCGGGTGGCTGCAGAGAGCCGGGCACTGAGGGCAGGGAGGAAGGCGGGAGGGGAGACGCAGGGCTCCCTCCGAGGGAGGAGCGGCCAGGCCAGAAGCAGAGCCCACGCCGCGGGTCACGGACACCCTCCACGCTCGCTCGTCCCCCGCGGCTCCCTGCCGGGGCAGCTGCCAACCCCAGTCCTGGCCGCCTTCCCGCGGGGAGCCCCGGCAGCGGACACCCACACCCGGACTCCAGGGCGGGCAGCACATGCTCGGAGAAGGACAGACAGACGGCTGCTCCCGCAGACCCCCAGCCGGGCCCACACACCTCAGCTGAGGCTGGGGGCGGAGGGGTGGAGGAGTCACGGTGCCCACGAACAGGCTGTAGGCTGTGATGCAGCAAGTAAAAAGAACCAGACGAGTAAGTCAGAAGGCGGGAGGCGGGCTGGATGTCACGGCTCAGGGCCACAGTGAGCACACGGGAGCCTGTTCTTGGGCTTAGGAGCAAAGTTCCTCTGTCTGGCTACAATGTGTGTTTTGAGTAATTGTCTGAGTTGGGTTGCGGGATTGTGGGGGTGGAGAGGGAGGGCTGAGGGTCCTTGAGGGGGGCTGCACAGTGACGGGCGTGCTGTTGGGATATTGCATTAGAACCATCATTCAGGGGCTGGAGCCATAGCACAGCGGGGAGGGTGTTTGCCTTGCACGCGGCCGACCCGGGTTCGATTTCCAGCATCCCATATGGTTCCCCTGAACACCGCCAGGAGTAACTCCTGAGTGCAGAGCCAGGATTGACCCCTGTGCATCGCCCCAAAAGGAAAAAAGGAAAAAATAAAAAACTCCCTTAGCAAAATTAATGTTTCAGTTAAACAGCTGAATTCATTCATTTACCTTAGGGAAAAAGACTACTCAAATCTAAACTATCTTAAGTGTGTGTGTGTGTGTGTGTGTGTGTGTGTGTGTATTTATATATGAGATGCTCGAATCAGTTTCTATATGAGCTGCTCGAATCAGTTTCCACAAAACACTCCCAACAGCTGCCCCTGCCACTGTACTCACCTCACTCAGGAGTTGCCACGTCGGCCCCCCATGAGGTCCCCAAGCGACGGAGACCGAGAGACCAACCATCCTCAGTCCCGAACCCTACGCAGCCCTTCGGTGCCCCTCAGGCACTTAGGCAGGGATGGGAAGGGTGGGGGTGGGGGGACACAGAGTCCAGAGTCCAAGGGAAGTGGGGTTGGGGCCGACAATCAGGCGGCAGGTGGGCAGCGGCCCGGCGGGAAGGAGTCCAAGAACCCACCCTCTGGCAAGACGCGCGAAGGGGCCAAGTCAGACTCAGCCCTAAACCAACCTGTCACAGGCTTATAGGAGACATCACTCCACTACTAGTGTCTGCGTGCCTCAATCCTTGGTGCTCTCCGAACGTCCCCACGCCCCGCTTAGGTGCGACGGAGGCCAGCACTGGGCAAGGGACAGCCACCTGGCAGGGCGGGGACCGGGCTGGGATGGGCGGCTGTGCCCCCAGCCCTGGGGACAAGGCCGCAGACCCTGACGTCTCCTGGCCATCAGTCCTGCGCCGCGGAGACAGCAGGTGAGCGGGGTCCGGCCGTGAAAAGCCGCCGGGCAGCTCTCACCCTGCACAGCACTCACCCAGAGACAGAGACAGAGACAGGGCGTCCGGCACGGACCCGCTGGGAAGGCCCCTCAGGGTGGCGCGACACTGACACCCAGCGGCCAGGCTGAGCACTGCGGCTCCCCTGAGCTTCCTGGACTCTCTGGACACCAAACACAGCCCCAGGAGGCCCTGCAGCCGGGCCCAGCCGGGTGGGGCAGGACCCCAAGGCCCCAGCTGCTCCTGACCATGTGTCAGTCCAGGCCCGAACCAGGACTGGGGCGCTGGGGCGCCTGGTCCACAAACACTTTTTTGTACTGTTTTGGATCTCAGCTGGCGATGCTCGGGGGTTCCTCCTGGCCCTGCCTTGAGAAACGACTCCTGGTGGTGCTCAGGGCTGCCCGCCATGCCCAGGCTCGGCCCCCAGACACTGCCTGGGACAGTCCGAGCAGGCGCTTCACGGGGGGCCTGCGGGTGCCCAGCACAGCCAGTCCCGGCCCCTCCGCCAGCGAGCGAGTCACCCCTGTCTCCGCCTCGCAGCAGCGTAGCTGGGGGCCGGGCTCATGGCAGAGGGCGAGGGTGAACGCTCGAGGAGACGGGGCTGCGCCGTGAGTGGAACGGAGCCGGGCGTGCAGGAGACGCTCAGCAGATGAAGAGCAGCGGCCCGGCCCGAGTCCCGGGCTAAAGTACAAGAAACAAAGGCGGGGAGAACACGTCTGCATAGACGGAGCGATTCCGAGCTCCGCGTCCACAGCCACGGAAAAAGGAAAGATCCGTGGGAAAGAGGCGGGATCTATCCAGGACTCGGGAGCACTGTGTCAGGGAGGGCGAGCAGAGGCCGTCCCTTCCCTCCCGGCGGCCCTGGCAACCCTGGCACTAGCTGCCGCGGGGCGGGAGGCCCCAGGAACCTCAGTGCCCCTGGGGTCTATGACTCTGCGTGCTCCCACTTACCTCATGACGGGACCCTAAGAACCTAAGTGGATTTTTGAGACAAATGGTTGTTCTGGGAACGTCTGAAATTCTCACCAGCAGATTTGTTGGAAAGACAAACTAAGCGATTCTTCCCGTTTTCGTGGTTTCTAAGTGTGACTTAAGCCCTGGCCAAGGAGCTGAGGCAGGCCCGGACACCTGCGGACGCTCACGGGGGCGACCAGGCAGGCCGAGAAGATGCTCTGGGGGTCAGAGCGGAACCCTCGCCCCTACCCCATGGCTCCCTCCCGACGAGCTGTAACGTCAGTCTGGCCGGGCGGGCTCCCCTGAGTACAGCGGCAGCTGGCACTGTCTCGAAGGGGCACAGCAGCTCCAGCCATGACAGGGCTGGGGCGCTGGGGTAGCGCTGACCGCGCGGACCACGAGAGTCTGCCCCGAAGAGAGGAAGGAAGGGCAGCAGCTGACAGCCGCAGAGCCCACAGCCCCCGCCACGCACGGGGCAGCGCCCACACGGTGCCGTGACTCCCGCACTGCAGGGCTCAGCAGGTCAAGATGAAGAAGGTCCTTTATGATCAACTGTCTGCTCCCACTGCCCATCAGAATTCACTCCTGCCGATTCTAAAGCAGCTGTTTTCAGAAGGAAGAAGGAAGGAAGGAAGGAAGGAAGGAAGGAAGGAAGGAAGGAAGGAAGGAGAGAAGAGAAGAGAAGAGAAGAGAAGAGAAGAGAAGAGAAGAGAAGAGAAGAGGCAGCAGGAAAGGGCGCGCCTCGTGTCTCAGAGGAAGAGAGATCGCCATGACCGTCACCAGGGAGTGACACGGTCCTCACGGTGCATTTCCCTAACAGGAGGTGAGGTCAGACCCACAGGCGTACACTTCGGGGGCATCAACACAAGGGTCAATGTCGGAGACGCAGAACGACTCCGACTCGGGGTGTTGGGTCAGCCAGGGAGGAAGGGAGGGATATACTTACATCGCTTGAGGAGACTGTTCCTGTTTCAACAGCGACTCCGCTACCTCGCAGTCTCTATTGTGAAATAAATAACTTAGTACTTAGTTTTAAGTTTATCCTAATTTACCAGCAAACAAAAGGGAGTTGGGGGTGGGGGTGGGAAGGTTCTGCAATTTGGGTTTTTTTTTTTCTAATCCTACTTGGAAGAGCAGCTTCCGCTAGTAAAAAGCATCAAGAAGATGGAACTGTGCCATTAGGCACTTCCGGAGAATTCCTCTTAGAAATCATTACACAAGAAGCTGAAACAAACCGACCGCTAAGCTCCAGCTACACTCCGCAAGTGACGCTGCTTACAAGGCCACGTCTAAAGACTCCGTCGCTGTTTTCCCACCAGAACCCGATGCCCGAAGAAGGTGAACTCTGCCCTACTGTGTGCCAAGCTCCCCAGCAAGCACCTGCCCGCAGGGAGAACGGCACACGCCAAGCGCCCGCGTGCTCTCCAGAGAGGATGGAAGGGTTCAGGCAGAAGCAGACGTTTCTGGAAGGAAGGAGACGTTCGAGTCCGCAGCCAGCACGTGCCGAGGGCAGACAAGAGCTCTGACCCCCCCAGCACTGCAAGCCAGTTCCCAACCCAGAGCGAGGCCAGAGCGAGGGCCCCGGGCCACCGAGAGATGGGGAACGGGAGGGGGTCACGCACAGAAGAAAACAAGGTCAGCGGGGGCACAGATGGGGGGACGCTCCAGGCTCCCGAGAGAAGCACCCACGTCCCCCTTCGCTAGTCAGAGCACAGGCGGCCTCGCAGGGCCTGGGGCCGGCGGGAGGAGAGAGAATCCCAATCAGGACAAGAAGAGGGATTCTGGGTGACCGCCCCCCACCGGGCATCACGCCAAGGAGCAGCCGGGAGGCGCCCAGAGGGCTGACCGGGAGACGCGAGGCTGTGGCCGGCCGCAGGGGCCAAGTGAGAGAGGCCGAGGCAGAGCAGAGGACGAGGAGAGCAGGAAGCGGCAGGCAGGAGGGCAGGTCCCCGGGGTCCCGAGAAGCCCCGGGCACAGGGAAAGAGCCACCCGCATCCCCCGAAGCCACACGACCCTCCCCTTCCTGACACCGGGGCGGAGTGAAGACCCTGGGAGTCACTGCAGAGTGACGGAGCATCCCCACGGACGACACACTTGCCATTCGCATGTCAGAGAAAAAGCAATGGTGGGGAAAAAAACGCAAAACACTGGGTGGCCAGGCACGGTCCACTCCGGTACCGGCGTCTGCTCCGTGAACTGAGCGCGGCGGGGGCCGCCTCCCCGGCAAACCCCGAAGCTAGCACCGGGGCAGAAGGCGCTTCGACCCTGGAAAGGAATTCGATGCGAGGCGGAGAGAGGAGGAAGGAAGGAAATCACCTACCAAGCACCGAGTCGCATTCTGACCCCAAGCGACACGCTTTAGAAACTACGAATCTACCTCAAGTCACCCAATGCCATCCACTAATGCAGTCTCTCCCGTTCCAGAGAGCCGGACTCAGTAACACCGGGGCAAGCGCGTGGCTCCAAGAATACACTCAAACTCTGAGCTACACTGCGTACCGCTCACTTTTGATTTCCAAAGTCCTTAATTTGACCAAGACCCTGCGAAACAGCAGGATCTAATCGGAACGATCACTCGGGCTTGCCCACGCCCACGGGAGGCAGTGCCGGGGTGGGAGGGGCCGCTGGGGAGAGAGGGGCTTGCCTGGGGGCCCACCAAGAGCGCCCTGGTGGTGCTCGAGGCTGGGCTGGCCGCTGCCTGGCGTGAGACAAACCCCTGACCCCCGCCCTGGTCTCGGGCCTGCAGCGTCCTGCCTCTGGGCCGGGCTGCGGTTCCGGGGAAGCGTGAGGGAAAAGCCCAGGAAGCCGCTGTTCTCCAGCTGCTACAGACTTCCGTCTGCCTGCAGGGAACGGCTGCGGGGGGGCCCCGGCCCGGGAGGGAGGAGCAGCTGGCCCAGACCACTCGGCCCGAGGAGCAGTGACCGAGCAGGGGCCGTCGGGGAGCCTCGGCCGCGCAAGGAGGCAGCAGGGGGTCGGCTCAGATGGCGCCGCCCACCCTGTGCCAGCGCCCAGAGCCGTGTGTCGCTCACGGGGCTCCTTGGCCTGGCGCGTGACCACAGGGTCTAAGGGGAGACCACGGGGAGCCGCCGGGCCAGAGTGACCGCAGGGCAGCTGCCCCCTGCCAAGGGCTCCCGCCCGCCTCACAGAACTGGTGCAGGAAGCAGCAGGGTGAGGAGAGAAGGCGGCGAGGGGCAGGAGGGGAGGTGCGGGGGGAGCCTGGGGGAGCCCGGGGAGCGACTCCCTCCCGGCGGGACACGGTGCCCCTGGGAGGGCCGTTACCTGCGAGCTCAGCTGGGTTTTGATCCAGTTGAAGTAGTAGTTCAGGTCACTGCCTTCCATCAGCTCCTTTCCCCAAGCGGCTAGTTTGGCGATGATTCTCGCTGCCTGAAAATGGGGGGAAATGCATGAAAACACTGAGTTTACAAATTGTATAACCACCCAAAAAAAAAAAAATCACACCACTTCTGTTTTCAGTTTTTTCATACTCGACTTCTCCCCAAGAGGGTCATTATTTAGTTTTTCAATATATCCTAATACACAGTCCAAAAAACATATATTTGTTGGTTTGGAGCCCCCTCTGGCAGTGCTGAGAAGTGACCCCTGGCTCCTGGCGTGCTGAGGGCCCACACGTGACGCTGGCCAGCGGCACCCTGAGCCTCCCAACTGTCGCTCCGCCCCAAGGACTCTCTGCCAAACACGCGGCGCAGACATACTCGCATCGACCCATTAATGCTGCACGCTTTAAACGCTTGACGTTTTGCCAATTATGTCTCAGTAAGTGGCGATATGTGACGGATGTGAAAAGCTGCTTCTCCCACACACATTCAACGAAGTATTCGAGTCCTCGCTGGAGGCAAGCGAGTGCTTTCCACCCTAGTGACCGGCTCTAACTGACCCTGGGCAGTGGAAGGCCGAGGTCTCCCCGGAGACACAGCCATGGGCAGAGCCGGGCTGAGGGGGAGATGGGCCCCGGGCCGGGTGTCGCCGTGCTGGGCTCAGGGCACACCCATGGCAGCACAGGCCGAGACAAGCAAACGTGCTTCCTTCTCTCGAAACAGGCCGAATTTTCCCAGTTAAAGGAGCAACTTATCTAGGAAGGATTCCTGCAAGGAAACCAAGGACTAAAAAAATCAGCAGGGGCTGGAGCAATAGCACAGCGGGGAAGGCGTTTGCCTTGCACGTGGCCACCCGGGTTCGATTCCCAGCATCCCATAGGGTCCTCCGAGCACTGCCAGAAGTGACTCCTGGGTGCAGAGCCAGGAGGAACCCCTGTGCATTGCCGGGTGTGACCCAGAACGCAAAATCATGAAAAAATTTAAAAGCAAAAACAAAAATATCAGCAATGTGAAGCACAAGTAAAATGCGAAAGAACAAGAGCCTACACCCTCCCATTCGAATCTACCCTCAAAATCTGCACGGCCAGCCCAAAGTCACTGGAGCCAGAAAGAAATCAAAATGCAGATTTGACTACACAGGTAATAATGCTGACCTCTGCCCAGTGTGTATTTGGTCTGAGACACTGATTTCAGACCGCATTGTACTTGGGCCATCTAAGAGGCATTATCATAAAACCATCAACTTCAGGAAACTATTTAAACCACAATAAAAAAAAAAAAACCTCTGTCATCTTAAAGAGGAAATGTTTCACTGATTCTTTTTTTAAAGTTGCTTTACAATAAAGCTTATTTAGTGAATTTTCCGTGATTTCTCATTCCATAAGATCAGGTGTGAAAGACAAACACACCGGTAAATAAAGCAGTGAGCACATTCAAAACACGCACGCTGGAGAACAGTTCCTGGGCAAGAGCTCGTGATTGGAAAGTGCCAAGTCCCCATGGCAGGGGCTGCCTCACGGGCCTCCCCTACAGCTGCCGACACGTGTCTGCCCTGCCAGGAGCCACCCCCAAGCATCACCGGGCACCGCCCCCAGGTCCCCAGGTCCCCAGGGAACCCCAGACCTCCTCTCCCTCCACCCCTTATCTCCCTCCGCCCTTCGTAAAGTAACACAGTGATCGGTGTCACCTGAGGAAAACAGGGCGGGGACAGGGGCGGGGTCTGGCTGGTGGCCCATGTTAACTAAACTCACATCTGCGAGTAGATGTGCGTGGCATATACAGGGGTGTTCAGGGGTCTAGGTGTGAGGCTGACACCTGAAATAGACAGTGTGGACCATCACCTGATTTATGATTTTTTTAAAAAACAAAGAGGACCACCACATCAAAGTTTGCCTCTTGGGCAGGGCTTAAAGACAGACTCGTGTTTAAGGAATTACAAAGCACCCACACAACCGTGATAAAACCTGGGGAGAGGGACGGGACAGCAGGTAGGACACCTGCCTCGGATGCAATCAAGGTCTGACCCCAGGCAAGCTACACGGTCCCAAGTTCCCAGGAGTGAGCCCTGAGCACAGAACCAGGAGTCAGCCCTGAGCACAGAGCTGGGAGTAAGCTCTGAGCACAGAGCCAGGAGTGAGCCCTGAGAGTAGCCAGGTGTAGACCAAAAGCAAAAACTAAAAGAACTGAACCGTGGCAGCTGCTTCCTCAATAAAATGCCATTCAGCAGTCACTGACCATCAGTGGCCCCCCACCCCGGACACATGGGCCAGACCAAGGCTAGACACTGTCACCGCACCCGCAGCACAGCCATGGCAGGCTGTCACAGGACTGAGCTACCCGTGGAGGAGGACAGCAGGACCGGCCAGGCTCCTCCCGCCCGCGCGCAGACCAGCCACCAGGACTCACCATGTGCACGGTGAAGAGGTCCTGGCGGTTCAGCATGGGCAGGAAGTAGGACCAGGCGGTGTTCTTGCCGCGCTTGGCGTAGTCGAAGAAGATGCCGACTCGCTGGTGCTTCTCCTGGAAGAGGGGACAGCGGACAGGGCGCGGTGATGAGGGGCTAACGGCCGCGTCTGCTCCTCTGCCATCCACTCCAATCCCACCCGCTCTCGCTCTCTCTGGCCGTGCCGGCACCTGTCACCCGCTCGTGATGGGGCAGGGGTGGCCCCGGGGGCGGACGGTGAATAAAGAACAAACCGGGACCTGGGGCCACAGTGCCCGGCACTCCCGGCTCTGGGCACAGGGACGGTCCCTGGCACCTCGGGGGACCAGGCGGGCGCCGGGGATCAAGCCTGGGTTGGTTGTGCGCCGGGCGAATCCTGGGACCACGGTAGGGTCCTCCAGGCCCACCTGGGTCACCCCGGAACAGAGCCAGGAGTAAGCTCTGAGTCCCACCAGCTGTGGCCCAGACCCCAACCTGCCCCCGAAATAAAGATTCCTAATGAGTCAAACCAAGAACACGGGCCAACAGTCTCCTGTTCTCCGTGCACATGTGTCAAGACACAGACAGGTGTGTGTGCGTGTGTGTGTGTGGTGTGTGAGAGAGACAGACAGACAGACAGAGACAGAGACAGAGACAGAGACAGAGAGCGTGCGCGGCTAGGCAGAGTGCAGAGACAAACCCCGCATGTCCCTTGACGTGGCTTTTCTCGAAGTCGGCACGGCAGGAGAGCGCCCAGTCCCTCAGCAGGCCTGGATGGAGACCATGTATGTCTGTTCACTGCTTCCTGGGGGCCCTGCCACGTGTCGCAGGCCTGCGACCTTCCCTGCACTTCGAGACCCCGACTCGCCTGAGTAGCAGGAGACCCGGCATCACAGCACGACCCTCCCACCCAGAGTGACACCATCTGTGCTTCCCAACTGAGCCCCCCCCCCCACACACACACACACAGATGCGTGTGGGACCTTCCCTCCACGTCCAAGAAGGCAGAGCAGCGCTGGACACCAGCCAGGCGGCCGTCTCCAGGAGAACTCGTCCCTGGCACCCACACCGAGACTCCGTGACACAGAACACGGAGACGGACTAACAGACACTCCGCCCAGAGGGAGCAGCAGAAACACGCAGGCGTGAGGCAGAGGCTCTCCGGGGGGACGAGGCTCGGACAAGGCAGCCTTGCCCAGAGTCGGCCCCGAACGCAGTGACGGAGAGAGGAGCTGAGGCCGTCCGGAAGCCCACAGCACCCAGAGGGCCCGCGTGACTCAGCAGTTTGTCACTTAAAAAAACCCTCTCTAAGGTACTGCAGGGGAGGGAAAGGGGAACCACAGACCGGTAGAGACCTGTGACTTCACCCGCACATGACAACGGCCAGACTGGAGAGGACAGTGCCCACAACTCGCCTGGCACAGGGTCAACAGCCAAGAAACACACGCACTGGCAAGCACAAAAACCCCACCCCACCCACCAAGGAAGGGACCGAGATGAGCAGACGGGTCCTGCAGAAAGACGCACAACCGGCCAGCAGGGCGGAGCCCCCCATGGCCCTCTCTGGTCAGCAGGGAAAGGCAACGCAGAACAACAGTAGATACCGGCTGACCCAGCGACAGTCCACACTCGGAGAGGAGCCAAGAAGCCAGCAGCCCAGCACCCAGGCCCGGAGCACCCAGCCAGGGCAGACCCCGCCAGGGAAACTCCCGGCACACACGGGAGTGTCTGCCCAGACAGCGGAAATCAACAGCGAAGGCCCCCAGCAGGGAAGTGTGGGAAGCCGGCCCTTTAACTGACCGAGGGCCTAGGTGCCTGTGCTAGGCATGGTCATCTTGACCCACGCGACCCCGTGGCAGGCACAGCCTGTGCTACGTATGGTTATCCTGATGTATGGTTATTCTGAGAGAACATCTGTCATGGCTGTCAGTAATAACAAGTAACTACCTCGTGTCTGGTACGCGATGCGTACAAACTTTGTAAATCATATGGACATGACCCTTCGTGTAATCACCTGTGTCTGGTACGAGATACACACAAACCTTGTAATGCATGATATGTGAAAACAAACCTTCCTGACCACATATGGGCACGACCTTTAGTGTAGCTGCCTCACTAATGGATATATACCCTGACTGCCCCCAATAAAGTCTGTCCCTTTTTCTCTCAGTTTCTGAACTGCACTCTGTCTCTTGTGTCTTGTGTTCATTTGGCTGGTCCCTCCTTGCACCTACGGACCCTAGGGCCACCTCCGCGGGCCGGAGAGTGGTCTGGCGGGGCTCCCCGCAGGAAAGGCCCCGCGCACCAACCCCGCGGAGTCGCAGCCCGTCCAGCAGAGCCTGGGGCCGGGGGAGGGCGAGCCAACGGCACACGCGCCACCAAGAGCTCCCCGGCTCCGGATCACGCCAGAGCCCAGCCAGGGAGCCCCGTGGGGAGAAGCTCTGAAGGGGCTTCTCGGGGCTGAAGCCCGGGCAGCCGGGCGGGGGACCCCCCCGACCCCCATGAGGAGGCACGCGCCCAGCGCCGACACCACACTCCGTGAACGCTCTGTCTGTCAGTTCTTCACACCCCGAGATTTTCATTCGGGTCTTTGCCTTCTAGCAGCATTTCCTGATCTAAAGCCAACACTCCCCTTCTCTTGCTTTGTCTTGTCTTGGGGCACACCTGACGATGTCCGGGGCTTACTCCTGGCTCTGCTCTCGAGACTGATTCCTGCCAGTGCTCGCGGACATCGTGGGGTGCCAGGGACCACCCGGACCAGTGGCACGCCAGGCCAGCCCCTTCCTGCTCCCCTCTCGGCCTCAACGTCCCCCTCCGGCGGATAAAACACGCTTCGTACCTTTCTCAGCCTATTCAGATGCCCCCCTTTAAATTATTTTCTAAATTCTCTTCACTCTTCCAAACGTTACACTCGTAGGATTTACCTATTTCATGTCCAAAGCGTACTATCCACTGAATTGCCCATCATGTTGAGTCTTTAAATTCACGTATCTCTAAAAAAAAGTTCTAGCTCTGAAGATTCGACAGGGACGGGCGTTATCAACCTATCATCGATTTGCTACTCTGTGGACTTGCAGATCAGCTCCATGCATCTGTATGTCTACCCGCAAAGAGGGGAGGGAGAGAGAGACAAAGAGACACAGCGAGTGAGGGAGCGAACGAGGGTGAGAGAGCGAGGGAGAGATTTTCCCCACATGATAAGAGGATAACGAATCGTTAAAGTCACAAGGAATAAAGATGTTGTCTATCAAACTAAGCTACAGGGCTGGCGTCATAGCACAGCGGGGAGGATGCATTTGTCTTGCATGCGGCCAACCCGGATTTGATTCCCAGCACCCCATGGGGTCCCCCAAGCACCACCAGGAGTGATTCCTGAGTGCAGAGCCTGGAGGAACCCCTGAGCATCACTGGATGTGACCCAAAACCCAACAGCGAAGGGCCTAGGTGCCTGTGCTAGGCATGGTCATCTTGACCCCTGGATGTGAAATAAAAAAATAAAAAGAGTAGTTTCAAAGGGGCCGGAGCAACAGTACAGTGGGCAGAGATTTGCCCTGCATACGGCCAACTGGGGTTCGATCCCCAGCACCTAGAGAGTCCCCTGAACCCACCAGGAGTGACCCCTGAGCACAGAGCTGGGAGTAAACCCTCAGCATCACCAGGTGTGACTCACAAACAAAAACTAAAACACCTGCTCTTGCAAGGGGTCGTCCGGCCCCTGGTGCGGAGATGGGGTGTCCAGTCAGGGGGCTGCAGTGAGGCATCTATGACGAGTGGGACTGGAGTCCTGTCAACCCCTGGGCCTCGACAAGCAATCACTTTTTAGAAAAACCAAACAAGAAAACCAGCACGCTTTGGAGAAGAGGGGCGAAAGCCACAGCCCAGCAGGGAGGGCGCCTGCCTTGCGTGCGGCCAGCCTGGGTCCACGCCTGGGCCAGGAGCCCCAAAGCCCCAAACCAAAACCCCATGGGGGGAGGGGGGGTGCGGGAGGAGCCCTGAAGGCCCAAGCCCCCGCCATGGTGCTCCTCTCCAGGCACCTCTCCACCAGCCCCGCACCCGCCAGTCCCGCACCCTGAGCCGATGACCCTGGGGCCGCCGCACACGCCCAGCTCAGGGCCGAGGGGAACGGCCCGGGAGCAAGGTCAGGGGCTACCGAGCAGGCACCGGCCCCCATGCCACAGTCGAGGGGGCACCAGCGGCCAAAGGAAACGCCCTGAGGCTGGCCCAGTGCTCACATGCACCCAGACCCAGCCTGTCTCCGCCCACCCCCGTGGCACACTTATGGGTATCACACACAGGACTTATGAGTGTCACACACACACACACACACACACACACGCGCGCGCGCGCGCGCGCGCGCACGCACACACAGAGTCTGCCAGGCTTTAGATCTGCACTTACAAAGGACTGAAAGACGGTCACCGTCATGCACTGGCCACGGGAGTTTCTGCCCTTCTCAGGTTCCACAAGGACCAACAAGTTCCCTATTGGGGGCAACAGGACAGACAGACGCCCACAGGGACGTGAGGCTCTCTGCCTCACTCACCAGGGAAAGGCAGACAAAACAGCCCCGAGCCGGGCACACGTCCCAGACGGCGGCCAGCGGGGAGCAGGCGGGCACTTCCCAGGGACAGGAGTCCGGCATCCGGATGGCCCAGCAACTCGACTCCCTGGCACCTACCCCCAGGGCCCGAAGGCTCTGGTCCCAAAAGACACGAGCACGCCACGTGCGCTACGGCAGCACCACCCACAAGAGCAAAGCCAGGGTCCGAGAACAGCCGCCGCATAACCAACTGCACAGACAGCAGAAGCCGACCCCGCCGAGGGAAACCGGGAAGCCCACGGCGTGCCGAGAAACGCGTGGGTCTGGACGCAGAGTGGGGTCAGCCCAAGGGCAGGGTCGGGAGGGAGGGACGCAAGGTGCTGACCCAGGCTCGATTCTGTCCCTCCCATGTTTCCCAGAGTCCTGCCAGTGTGCCCACCCGCCCACCCAGCCAAAGGAGAAAGGAATGGGCTCCAGAAAGGTCTCTCGCAGGTACGGGACAGAGACGGGCATGAGAGAACAAGAAGACAACAGCCGCCAACTCGGGCCGGGTCCTGGGGAGGCAGCGTCAGCCTGGCGGCCGGCGGGGACAGGACCACGATGTGCACAGAGACCTATCGCGAACAGCACTGCAAAGCAGTCTCAGACGAGCGAGAAAAGTAAAACGAAATAACAAAGATCGCCGGGGGGTAGGCAATCCGATCTTCTGTGTCAGAAATCACGTGTCACTCAACACAGCCAAGACCCGTCACTCTCCCCGGGGCCACACCTCACAGACACGCCCGGCACGTGGGGCCCAACAGGACGAGGCGAGGACACACCCACCTGCAGCATGTCGTCCACCATGGTCAGGATGTACTGCACCGTCTGCTCTTTGGAAATGTGGGTCATCAGATTTATGAAGGTTTTGGCACACTGGAATCAGAAAACAAAGCGTGTGTCAGCCGTCGTTCCAAGTGCAGCCACGACGCGAGACGGACTTTCAGAAAAATGACCCCTTTCCTAAGTTAAGGCACAAATGGTCCTACCTGATAGGGACGCCAGTTACCAAAAAAAAAAAAAAACACATTGCTTCTACAAAACCTGTGATGAAATACGGGAGGAAGACGACTGACAGGAGACCTGCTAAGTCATTACTATGCCGGGTTTCGACTGCTTCCAAACAGCCACTACACCTGGCCAGTCACCTGGTGATCACCAGTGATAACATAAACACCGTTATATAGATCATCAGACGTTATTTTGGGTTTTGATCTTTCAAAGACATTTTTTTTAGTTTGTGGGTCATACCCGGCGATGCACAGGGGTTACTCCTGGCTCTGCACGCAGGAACTACCCCTGGTGGCACGTGCTCAGGGGACCACACGGGACACTCGGAATCGAACCTGGGTCAGCCGCATGCAAGGCAAATGCCCTCCCCGCTGTGCTATCGCTCCAGCCCCTTCAAAGACTATTTCTGAACTCACTGGTGACTAGAGCAATCAGAGTCGGCACCCAGAGTCAAAGGCTGTTTATTCTGCCAGGTGTGGGCCCAAAACCAAAAATAATAAAATAAAAAATGTTTTAAAAGGAAACAGGGGCTGGAGCAATAGCACAGCAGGAGGGCGTTTGCCTTGCACGCAGCCAACCCGGGTTCGATTCCCAGCATCCCATATGGTCGCCTGAGCACCACCAGGAGTTAACTCCTGGGCACAGAGCCAGGAGCAACCCCTGTCTGTGCATTGCCGGGTGTGACCCAAAAAGCAAAAAAAAAATAAAATAATAAAAAATAAAAAGGAAACAAATGACCAAGGGCCCAAGAGACAGTATAATGGCTCAGAAGCTTGCTATGCACTCAGCCACCCCGATGCAGTTCCCAGAGCACCACCAGGTGTGACCCCTGAGCAGAGCCAGGAGTAAGTGATGAGTACCACTGGGTGTGCCCACCCCACCAAGACAATAAAGCAGTCGAGACACAGATGGGCTTCCTTACCAAAGCAGGGCTCCATCTCAGAGAATCTTATTCATATTGCAGTAAGAATACAAAGGGAGAGGGGGAGGGGTACTTTCAGGGGGAAAAATAGTGAAGCAACTTAACAAGCATCATATACTTTGAAGCAATAATTTCCCTTATAGAAATATACTCTAAGATTTGAGACATACAGAAAAGGGTAGAGGAATAGCATTTTCCCCCAAATCTATAAAGAAAACAAACAACACAACTGTCTTTCAATGAAAAGGAGTCTCGTCAAATGATGATTCCGATACGCGGTGGAATATTACAGAGCCGTTAAAAGGTTTCCTCGTGGTTTGAGTGTCCAGTGCTAAGGTGTTGATGTTACTGTGTTTGTAGGTTGACGTGGCTCACCTGGCTGCCCTCAGCCTGGAGCATCTCTTCCTTCTCCTCAGCAGTTCTCTTCATTTCAAACCTCTGAATGAATTCACAGTCTTCACCAGAAATCATCTGGCCCCTGGGAAGGGAGAGGGAGTGGTTTGTGTTCAGAAGGGAAACAGGGCCGTGAGCAGCTCAGGGGAGTTGCAGGCTCCCCACCCGACCCACACCAGCAGTAACCCTCAGGGGCTGCCACTGGGGGCTTCTCACTACCTTTCACTCATCATTCAGTCCCTGGGGTCTCAGATGACTTATCTGCCAAGTGGCATAAAAACCAGGCGGATGAAATTTACATACAAGTGGTACCACGTGGAAAGTATCACGCTGGGCGAAATGAGTCAGAAAGAGAGGGACAGACATAGAAGGACTGCATTCATCTGGGGCACATAAAGTCACAAAATAGGAGACTAACACCCAGGAGTGGCCGAGATTAGTACCAGGAGGTTCACTCCATGGCTTGGAGGCCAGCCGCACATGCTGGGGGGAAAGGCAGCTCAGATAGAGAAGGGAGCACCAAGTGAAGGGTGTTGGGAGGATCCTCCCAGGATGGCAGATGCACGCTGAAAGTAGACTATTGACCGAACATGACTGCCACTCAATGCCTCTCTTGCAAACCACAGCAACCAAAAGGAGAGAGAGGCAGGGTGGGGGGTGGGAGGGATACTAGGATCCGTGGTGGTGAGAAATGGGCACTGGTGGAGGGATGGGTACTTGATCATTGTACAACTGAAACCCAAGCACAAAAATTTGTAAGTCTATAACTGTACCTCATGGTGTTTCACTAATAAAAATTTAAAAAAAAAAAAAAACAGGCTGCCTCTCGGGGACGAGTGTGATGAAGTGACTCACACAGCCGCCTGCAGCCTGGCTGCGGCCAGTCTCCAACCAAACGCCCACGGCAGCACCACCCAGCCTCACCCCGCCTCATTCCCAAGGCACTGCATCTGCTCCTCGGATTCCACAAGAGCCAAGGCGCCCGTCCCCCCAGGGCGTCCCCTCCCCGCTGACCCCAGGAGCCCCAGGAGACCCCCGGGGCGGCCGAACTCCAGGTGACCGCCTCGGGCCTGAGCCTGGGAAGATCCTGCTCTTCCTGTCAGGGGTGTCGCAACTGTGCTTTCGCGGAGGCCCCGATCACGTAGTCACGTCTCCCCTTCGCCATCCCTCTGCTCTCACGTGCACCTTTCCACGGGCTCGTTTGGGGGGAGCCGGCGTCGGCCAGGGTGGGCCACGAGCAAGCAGGCGCCGGTGCGGCCCCTCTGGCCTCTGTAGCAGGAACTGAATCTGATTCAGCAAGGCTGAATCTCACCCACGCTGTCCCTTGCTCTGAGGGAGGGGACGACGTGGTGCCATCAGCTCCACAGTCCCCTGGCCACGCCTCTCCTCGCCCCGCCTGTGGCCCTGGGCCGCCACCTGTGCACCTGTGGAGACCGTCCCCAGACACGGTTCCCTCTATCAGCAGCCAGCAGCCAGCGGCAGGCGCGCCCTAACACGGGACCCCCACGCATGGAAACGCAGATGGGGCGGTGGTTCTTCTGGAGGAAGTGTGCGATTTAAACGGACAACAGAGCAAAGAGCAGAGGGGAAGGCGCAGTGTGACTTCTGTGGTCTGAGGCTCCCAGTAGGGGCCAGAGGAGGAAGCCATCAATCGACTCCCCAGGGAACAAACGTCCAGGCAGGCAGGCGGGAGAGCCAGCTTTACAGGAACAACAGGCGTGTTTGGGCCATAAACACAAACCCCCCACCAGCTCTCCACTCTAATCTCTCCTTAACCGAAAACAGAAAACAGAGCTCGGAACCCTCATTGGCCAGGGGCCGGCTGCCACCACACCCCCAGGGCGCCAGAAGGCTCCTCGCGGGGTCTAGCTCACGTGGACCGAAGACTTACACGAGGGGCCTGAAGAGAAGCAGGCGAGGAGCGTGTCTCAAGCCTGACCTTGACAGGGGTTCTTGGACGATCCCCAAAGAACAAGCAACAAAAGCCAAAACAAGGAAGATTACATCAAACCGCAAGGCTTCGGCAGAGGAAAGGAAACTATCAACAAAGTCAGTGGGCTGGGAAAAGCAGAATAAGGGTTTGCATAGGGGGGAAAAATCCTCAATCACTCACTATGACAAGGTTCTAAACAGACATTTCTCCAAAGATAACCAAAAGGCCAGCAGGCCTATAAAGAGGCGCTCAGAATCACTCTTTCACCAGGGCAATGAAAACCACCCCCTCAACGAGAATCACCCCCACACCACTTAGGGTGCCCATTACAGGGGGGGAAAAAAAAGGAGCAGGAGTTGGTGAGGACAGAGAGAAAAGGGAATCTGTATACACTCAGAGCAGTAACATCAGCTGGTGATGCCACGATGGAAAAGTTAAGATTTTCTTCTATGAATTAAAACCGGGGGTCAGGGTGGACGTGGCAGAGCAAGGGGGGGGGGGGGGGGGGGATGGCCGCCTTACATGCAACCAGCCCGCGTTGGACCCTCAGCCCACTGCCCGGTGTGATCCTGGAGCACAGAGCCAGGAGCAGCCCCTGGGCAGCGCTGGGCGTGGCCCCCAAACCGAAAATCAATCAAGAAAAATTGGAAACGCACAGCAGAAGAGGAAAGAGCTAGAATTTCCCGAGAGAGCCGTCGGCGTGCCAACGCCCCATGCTCGGGCCGAGCCGGACTCCAGCTAAGACGCACCGTGTCAGCAACCCCGTGGGGGACGGGGGCCCCTCTCACGCCCGCCTCACCCAGACACCCCGTGTCAGAGGACGGGCCCAGGCCGACCCCAGAGGAGAACCAGAGTCCACAGCAGGCTTCCTGTCCGTCACCTGGGACACACCCCGTGGCCCTCTGTTCCTCCACAGACCCCACGGCAGAATGACCACGTCCACCCTCACTCCTCCCCAGCCCATGGCCCGGACACGCGCCCCCTGACCCCCCTCGGGGAGACACAGTGTCCAGAAGCCCCGCTCCTCCCCTGATGGCCCACACCGCACCCACACACAGGCTCCCTGGCAGTGCCCGGCCAGAGGGAAGTGGCATCCCGGAGGCGTCTCAGTGTTTCCAGGCCACATGACGGGCCGTGCCCGCCTGACTCACGGCAGGGTACTCACTGCAGGTAGGACTGCCAGTTCACTTTGTTGGCACGGACTTCCGCGGCCTTGGCGGCGATGACGTTCGTGGGAACGGCGGCATCCACGGCGCCCCGAATATCCATTTTGGTCATCTACACCGGAGGACGTGTGATCTTCCGTGACAGACCTACCGAGGCGCAAGTCGGAAAAACAAACTCGTCACTATTTTGCTGTGGGTCGCGCTCAGCGGTGCTGGGAGCACTCCCTGTGCAGTGCTCAGGGGTAGCGCCAGCTGCTGGCGGGGGGGGGGTGGGGGGCAAGCAGGGCCGGGCACAGAACAAGGGGCCACTGCGTGCAAAACAGGAGCTCCAACCCCGCCGACATCTCCCCAAGCTCGCACCTTTAACGAGCACCAGCAGGATCACGGGGGTCACTGTTCCCACTCGACTCTCCCCAGGGTCCCGTCCAGATCCAAAACATCCCAAAGCAGAGAAATCACTCCAAGGGCTTGGGACATGCATCGCCTGCAGAAGGCCTGGCTGAATCGGCGCCTGGTCCCAAAGGACAGCCGAGGACCCCTGCCCAGTGAGCCGGGAGGAGCCCCTGAGCACTGCCAGGGTGGCCCCAAAAACACAAAAAAAATAAGAAGTGCTCTTAGCGACATATTTCAGGCCCGGCCCACGTATGCTGTTCCCAGAAACGTGTGCTCTGGAGGTGTTTACTAACAAGAGAGCTGCGGGCACGCCAAGTTCCAACCCCAATCCCACCGCCGGGCGCCCTCCACCCACCCCGAAAGCATCCTCCAGGGACTTTCCTGAAGCAACCATTGAAGACAAGAAAGCAGGCCCAAAAACAAAGAGGAGGACAACACAGGCGAACTCGGAAACGCACAGCACGGGGCCCACCGGGCCTCCTCCGAGGGGGAACAGCAACCCACCCTGCAAAGAAGGCCGGTACCCCGCAACCTATCCCAAGGGACCGTCACACCCTGCGGGTCCTTCCTAGACTTCCCCGAGTGGGAACGGGATTCCTCGGCCGACAGAGCTTCCTGGGCTCCGGTTTCCATCCGCCTTGGGAGGATCCGGGGAACAAGCCACCGCGGCCATCTGGGGCGGCTGATGAGGAAGCCCCGCCGCTCAAGCTAAGGGGGCCCCCTCCCCCACCCCTCCCCGCAGCTCACAGCCGGCCTGCAGGCCAAGGCTGCTCTGTAGGGCAGTGGTCACACACCCAACGGAATTTGGGCCCCGCCTGGGGAAGCTGAGGCCCCCGCCCCAGAGCAGGATGGGCCCCGCGCCCAGGCGACTTGAGCGGCTCTGGCAGGGACGGTGCACCCCTGCTCGTAAGATCACTCTGCAGGTCAGCCACACCCCTGCAGGCCAGGTGCACCCCTACAGGCCAGGTGCACCCCTGCGGGTCAGGTGCACCCAGTAAGGCGCACCCCTGCAGGTCAGGTCACCTTGCAGGTCAGCCGCACCCCTGCAGAACAAGTGCACCCCTGCAGAACAAGTGCACCCCTACAGGCCAGGTGCACCCAGTAAGGCGCACCACTGCAGGTCAGGTCACCCTGCAGGTCAGCCGCACCCCTGCAGGCCAAGTGCACCCCTACAGGCCAGACGCACCCCTACAGGCCAGGTGCACCCTTGCGGGTCAGGTCACCCTGCAGGTCAGCCTCACCCCTACAGGCCAGGTGCACCCTTGCGGGTCAGGTCACCCTGCAGATCAGCCGCACCCCTGCAGGCCAGGAGCACCCCTACAGGCCAGGTGCATCCCTGCGGGTCAGGTGCACCCCTGCGGGTCAGGTGCACCCCGTAAGGCGCACCCCTGCTGGTCAGGTCACCTTGCAGGTCAGCCGCACCCCTGCAGGCCAAGTGCACCCCTACAGGCCAGACGCACCCCTACAGGCCAGGTGCACCCTTGCGGGTCAGGTCACCCTGCAGGTCAGCCTCACCCCTGCAGGCCAGGAGCACCCCTACAGGCCAGGTGCATCCCTGCGGGTCAGGTGCACCCCTGCGGGTCAGGTGCACCCCGTAAGGCGCACCCCTGCTGGTCAGGTCACCTTGCAGGTCAGCCTCACCCCTGCAGAACAAGTGCACCCCTACAGGCCAGGTGCACCCCTGCGGGTCAGACGCACCCCGTAGGCGCACCCCTGCGGGTCAGGTCAACCCGCAGGTCAGCCGCACCCCTGCAGGCCAGCCGCGAGCCGTAGGGCGCCCCCCGCGCCCCGCCCGGCCTCCCCCCGCCCGGCCCGCAGCGGCGACCACCCGGCGGGGCGTGTCGGGGCGCGCGGGGCGCGGGGAGCGGGCGGGGGCGAGTCTCGGCGACCCCCGGGAAGGGCGGGCGGGCGCCTACCGGGCCGAGCGCGGGGGCGCAGCCGCAGGGAGACCCCAGCCGGGCGTTGACGCGCAGCAGGAAGCCGGCGGGCGGGACGGCGCTCACGTGACGCGGCACGTGACGGGCCCGGAAGTCGGGCCGGCCGCCGGCGGCCGCGAGGGGCCGAAAAGCGTCTCCGCGGAGCGCGGCCCGGGGCCCGCCGGGAGCCGGGAAGGGCCAAAAAGGGTCAGTCTCCGCGGAACGCCCCTCGGGATTCGCCCGGGGCCGGGCTGGGGCAAAGCGGTCCGCTTGGAGCGTGGCGGGGCGGGCTCGGCCGGAGCCGGGCGGGGCTCGGGGTCCCCCGGGCTCTGCACCCGGGTCCAAGGGTGCTCGGGGTCCCCCGGGCTCTGCGCCCGGGTCCGAGGGTGCTCGGGGTCCCCCGGGCTCTGCGCCCGGGTCCGAGGGGGCTCGGGGTCCCCCGGGCTCTGCGCCCGGGTCCGAGGGGGCTCGGGGTCCCCCGGGCTCTGCGCCCGGGTCCGAGGGGGCTCGGGATCCCCCGGGCTCTGCGCCCGGGTCCGAGGGGGCTCGGGGTCCCCCGGGCTCTGCGCCCGGGTCCGAGGGGGCTCGGGGTCCCCCGGGCTCTGCGCCCGGGTCCGAGGGGGCTCGGGGTCCCCCGGGCTCTGCGCCCGGGTCCGAGGGGGCTCGGGGTCCCCCGGGCTCTGCGCCCGGGTCCGAGGGGGCTCGGGGTCCCCCGGGCTCTGCGCCCGGGTCCGAGGGGGCTCGGGGTCCCCCGGGCTCTGCGCCCGGGTCCGAGGGGGCTCGGGGTCCCCCGGGCTCTGCGCCCGGGTCCGAGGGGGCTCGGGGTCCCCCGGGCTCTGCGCCCGGGTCCGAGGGGGCTCGGGGTCCCCCGGGCTCTGCGCCCGGGTCCGAGGGGGCTCGGGGTCCCCCGGGCTCTGCGCCCGGGTCCGAGGGGGCTCGGGGTCCCCCGGGCTCTGCGCCCGGGTCCAAGGGGGCTCGGGGTCTCCCGGGCTCTTCACCCAGCGGGGCTGGGGGTCCCTCAGGTTCTGCACCCAGCGGGGCTGGGGTCCCTCGGGCTCTGCACCAGGAGATCCTTGGGGTCTCCCGGGCTCTGCACCCGGGTCTCGGGGTGCTCGGGGGTCCCCCGGGCTCTGCACCCGGCGGGGCTGGGGGTCCCTCAGGTTCTGCACCTGGCGGGGCTGGGGGTCTCTCGGGCTCTGCACCCGGGTCCAAGGTTGCTTGGAGTTCCCCGGGCTCTGCGCCCACCTCCCCCACCCCCCGCCGTCTGCCAGGCGGCCCCCAGCGCTGCTACCGACGGGGGAGTGGGGGCGGAACAGCTGTAAGGGGCGGTGGGCGCACCGTTAAGGCAGCTGCAGCAGCCCGGGTGGAACATTCTAGGCTGCTCTGTGCTTCCCGTGGCTCTGTGATTGTCCCCACCATGGCCCGGGAACAGCGCCTTGACCCTGCAGCTCTGCAGGTGCATCTGTGCGAGGTGCCCCCAGCCGGAGGGGCTTCCCCTGCGGCTCCCCCGGCTGCTGCGGCCTCCTGGGGATTCGAAGGAGGCGCAGTCGCAGGATGCATGAGCATCCTCAGGGATGCAGCCTCGGACACACAGACACCCTTAGGGATACACACACAGCCTCAGGGGTGCACAGACACCCTCAGGATCACACAGGCAGCCTCAGGGACAGAGACATCCCCAGGGACACAGACACGCTCAGGGACACATACACACTCAGGGACACAGACACACTCAGCGACACACACACTCAAGGACACACAGACACCCTCAGGGGGTCACACACACACACACACACACACCCAGGGACAGAGACATCCTTAGGGACAAAGACATCCTCAGGGACACAGACACGCTCAGGGACACAGACACACTCAGCGACACACACACTCAGGGACACACAGACACCCTCAGGGGGTCTCACACACACACAGGAACAGAGACATCCTTAGGGACAGAGACATCCTCAGGGACACAGACACGCTCAGGGACACAGACACACTCAGCGACACACACACTCAGGGACACACAGACACCCTCAGGGGGTCTCACACACACCCAGGGACAGAGACATCCTTAGGGACAGAGACATCCTCAGGGACACAGACACCTTCAGGGACACACATACCCCCTCAGGGACGCACACACACACACTCAGGGACGCACAGACACTCTCCACGTGGGGAGCAGAGGGAGAGAGGGTAATGATTTGTTGGGGAACCCCAACCCGCACGGCCACTCGGATTAGACTCCAGAGAATAATGGTGTGGGGCCCGAGCTATAGCACAGCAGGGAGGGCGCTTGCCCCGCTCACAGCCAACCTGGATTCTCTCCCGGGAACCCCAGAGGGCCCCCAAGCCTGCCAGGAGAGATCCTTGAGCACGGCCGTGGGGCCCCAAACTAAACTATCTAGAGAAGCGTAGAGTGACGGTTGCTCACAGATGCCCGTATAGTCTGTGTGTATGTTGGCTTACACGACAAAAGGGAAACCACTCACATGGCAAAAATCACATAGAACCACATATATATATATATATATATATATAAATGTGTGTGTGTGTGTGCGTGTGTCACACACCCACCTGTGCTCAGGGATCGTAAGTCCTGCAGACTACGACTAGATTTAAGGTGAAGGACTAGGGATGGATTTCCGAGGGGATCCCCATCTAATGAAACGAGCTTGCAGATTTGGGGGGAGAGTTCTTCCGTGCAGAGGTCCCAGTGGGTGCTGTGGAGTCCAGAGCAGGATGCGTCCGGGAGACGGCTGGGCTGAGGAAGGCAAACAGGAGCCGGGGGTGTGAGGACCCCAAAGCACAAAGCCCCCTGGATGGGAGGGTGGG